AATTTCTGAATATTTGTTCAGTTTTGAGATCTCAAGATGAGGACCACAAATTATTTGCCTTGGTGGTTTTCTAACTCCAGCTTATTGTCTCAATAAACTCAAGGTATGTAGTAGAGAAGCAGGTCTATCAATACATACATGGAGGTTTATGTTCTGTTATCGTAGACAGTAGTTCACATAAAGTGTTATGGTAGCAGTCACCTTTCTTTCATTGAATAGTTTATGTCTTACTGATGTGTGATTACTCCCTGATTAATAGTTAATTACTTCCTTTTGGGGGTTGCAGTGTTTCATAGTATTAGGGATTCTTGGGTTGAATCCCCACTTCTGAGTATGTACTTGATCGAATGGGATTTAGTTTTGGATAAGCTGCTGTAATACAGCTAATCTTTAGTGATCTTTATAGTTGGATAGACAGTTGTAGCCCCCAGATGGTTGCCTAACCCTTTGTTAGTTATCTTATGAAGGTGCCAGTGTATAGCAAAGTAATTAGTTTGCTTTTCAAAGCATTGTTTCCATTTGGAGCAGAAACAGTAAATACTGAAATGGCCAATAAATGAATCAGCCATGGAATATAGGTAAGAGAGGAGAAATGCTGAATAATCTACACAGTGGGAAATCAATCCTTGAGCAGTGACAATTGGCTGTGCTTTCATGCATTAGCATTGAGCATTGTGTAGAATTAACTTGGTTTGCGCTGATTAAATTCCAGTCTGAGGCAAAGTGCTTCCTATCTCATTTCTAGACTCTTAACAGTTCAGTCATCTCTCATTGAGAACTCATTTCTCTGTGTGTGATTCAAACATGATAAAACAATAATGAGAAGTTAAAAATCAGGGTTAGAAAAAAGTATTTTAAACCTGTACCTTTCTGAACAGGAGCAAAGCAATTATAAGGGTTTGGGGAATCAATAGAAATTGATGTTTTATACCAAAGAAAACTTAAGACCTTGAGTCTTGCCCTTGCTGCTCTCACTATATAGTACAAAGAAATCAATAGGCCCTCAAACCAAGCTACTCACAATTTACTCCCAGCAATTAATGTTGATATTCAAGGTAGTTTTGAGTATTGGGATTTGGAGAACAGCTCATTAAGCGAAGAAAAATGAAAATTTTAAAGTTTTTTTTTTAAATTTTGTTCTTTGAGAGTTGTATACATTCATAAACGTGTTTTGATCATATCTGTCCCTTAGTCCCTCCCTTCCAACTCTACTTTTGTCCTCCTGTCCCTTCTGAACTTGATGAGCTAGTTTTAAATCAGTTACTTCTGCTGGTATATTCATGGTTTTAGGACAGCCATTTTCTTTTTAGTCACCATAATTTGTTAATCGCTTACATTTTGAAATGAACATAAACAGTGTATATGCATTTGACATGAACTTCTAGCTAGTTAACTAAGGAGTCTTAATATTCTTTCCATTAAAAATGGATAGTGTTCCTTGAAGCAAGGAGAGGAGCTCAGTCCTGCCTCAACTTGATGCACCATGCTTTGTTCAAGCACTTGGGAGGCCTGCCCCTTTCTGAATGGAGACAGAGGAGGAGTGGATGGTAAAATGAATGAAAAAATGTTACTTAAATAAAATAAGAAATGGATAGTGTGCTGAAAATCACTTAGCCTGACTGTATGTGATCTCTTACCTCTAACTATGGGTGATCTGATGATGGTTTGAAATGAGAACTGAATGTGGGGTCCCCTGAGCCTATGAAGACAACAGGAGATTGGAGCTGAGCATGGATGTGTAAACCCAAAGCTCGGCGTGGAGCCCTAAGGAAGGTGTTAGTGAGAGGACAGAAGTGAGAATCTGCACTTGTCATGCAGGGTAAAGTCCACTAGAGGGGATCTTCCTATAGGCCAGAGTCATCTCCCTTCTCTCCTAATGATGCTTCCACCAACACTATTGACCTCACTGATGACCTCGGAGATCTTATTTTATGGAATCTACTACTGATCTTGGAGGGAAGAACCATAGATTGTCTAAATGACATAGCTATTAGTGGAACATCACTTATTAATGGTTGTTAATTATGAGCAGTTACATGCAGTTCATAGCTGGCTTTCTTTTTTCTCTTATCAAAAAGCCTGACTTCAACTCAGTGGGAATAATATATAAAGACAGCTTAGGTATAATTCTGAATCATTAGTGTCCATTTACAAACTGCTGTGTAATTATTAATTACAAGTTGACAACTTAGTTTGTTTGTTGTACAGCGCTGTGTTGGGTACCTGCTTAAAATCAGTGATCGCTTTGATTTTGTTATAATACAGTCACTATGATGAATAATCATGTGAAGATTGTTTCTTGATAGGATTTACATATAGGATGTTTTACTTTATATAATGTGGAGGGAATGAGGGTGAAGAGATGAGCTCTAGCAATGTTTATTGCAGCTTTCTTTTCATGGCCCTAGACACACTTTTATTTGCCTCCGTGCATTGAAATATCTTCACTGAAAACCACCACCAAGAAACTACAAACCTCACCCAGTGTGTGTGTGTGTGTGTGTGTGTGTGTGTGTGTGTGTATGTATACAAGGCAAGCAAAGGGGAGGTCTTGCCTTTCAAAACAGAGTTAAATGCCTTTAATAAAAATAATAAATTTTAATTCCATCCCTGGACTGTCATTCCTGTAGCTGGAATCAGCTCCTCGGCTTGGTTCCATTTCATTGATCTGGACGGCTTTACATCACAGTTTTAACCAGTGGGAGACTAAAGATCATCTCTCTATCTCCTTATTCTTACATTCTAGAAGGTTCTTCTTTGTAATCCTGTCAGTGCTCTGTCTTTGGACCCTTAATAGCTGGCATGGAATTTACAAGATACCTTATAAACATTTGTTAAATTAGTTTGCAGAACCTAATGTTTGTTAGTGTAAGTGAAAATATCACTCATAAGTTTCATAGTTCTTAATGTATCAGAATATTTGACCTTGAACTGTGGTTGACACAGACAGCATTGTAGTAGCATAAACTCATATAGGCATAGCCACCTAATATTTGGTGAAAGTGTCAAAAGTGTATACAGAGGGTAAGGGACAGCCTATTCAACAAGTTGTTATAACAAAACTGATACAACCTGTGGACCGGTGGAATCAGATCCATACCTCTCACTCTGCACAAAGAAATATTGAAAAAAATATATCAAGGACCTTAATTTAAAATCTGAAATACCAAAATTGCTAGAGGAAAATAGAACACATTTCAAAATGCAGGCGTGTTAGAACTTGGTGAGTTTGACTCCAATAGCATAGGGAATAGTCCAGAAAATGAACAGTGTGAATCCATGAAATTAAAAAGTTCCTCACATCAGAGGAAACTATCAGCAAAGTGAATAGATGGCTAAAGAAGGGAGGAAAAGTCTTTGCCAGACATGCTTCCAACAGGGTGTTAATACCTAGGACACAGAAAGAACTGCAGCCAATCACCCAAACTGCTGAATGAGCTAATGAAATAGAGTTCTCTAACATGAAGCCTAAGTGGCCAGTGAGTATTTTTGAAAGTGTTCCAGGGGTGGAATGTTCAGTTGGTAAAGTGCCTGTCACAGAAGCCCAAGGACCGCAGTTCAGAGCCTCAGCTCCCACACAAAAGTCTAGAGGGTCAATAGGAGGGTGGAGGCAGGCAAATCCTCACGGCTTCCAGGCCAGCAAGTTGATGAGCTCTAGGTTTCATGAGACACCTTATCTCAAAAGATAAGGCAGAGAGTGGTTCAGGAAGATATCTGACACCAACTTTTGGTTTCTATATGCATGTGCACACACAGAAGTTACAAATATATAGAATTAGAAAATGGAAATAAGTGTTCCATATCCTTAGCCATCAAGGGAATGCACATTACAACTGCTTTGAGGGGCTGGGAGATGGCTTCATGGGTAAGATTAGTGTGCACATGCAGAGACCACCCCTCTGGTCTCTGCATACACACACACACACACACACACACACACACCCCACATATATTCTGCTTTGGGATTACCTCTTAGTCAGAATGTGTAGCATCAAGAAAACAGGTGACAACAGATGCATGCAAAGATGTGTGGAAAGAGGGACTCTTATTCACTGATGGTGAGAGAGTATGGTTGTATAGACATTATGGGAATTAGTGTGGAGGTATCCAAAAATTAAAAGTAGAACTGCCATAGAGCCTAGATATGTTACTTCTATATACGTTCCCAAAGGATTCTACATCCGATCACAGACAGATTTGGGCATCCATGTTTCCTGATGAATTATTCAGAATGTCAGTAAAGTGGAAACATTGCATGTGTCCATCACCATACATGGATAAGGAAAATGTTCTATATATATATATACAATAAAATTTGATTCATCTGCTAAAATAATGGAATTGTAAGGTTTCTAGGAAAATGGGTAGATCAAGGAAGTAGTCTATTAAGCAGTGTGAGCAGGACTCAGAAAGTCAAGTGTTGTGTGTTCTCTTCCCTGTGAATCCAAGCCTTTAATGTTTGAATCCCCGTGGATATGAGTGTTGTATAGACTATAAACTAGAAAGGGACCACAAAAGGGGAGCAGAGTGTGGGGGTGTGGGAGGGCAGCCGAGCATGTGACAGGAAAGCAGAAAGGAGGCTGTTTGGGTGGAGAAAAATCAACAACAACAAATGCCACAATGAGACTTAATACTTTCTTTGTATGCTAGTTTTTAAAAAAAATGTTAGCACAAAGCCTGACACAGAGGGGATAGGTCAATTAATTGTTAGCCACTATAAATGTAAATATAATATCAACATGTTAATATTTGATCAGCATATTGAAGACAATACAAATATAATAATATGAACAAAGATATTAAAATTCTTGTTAATGTTTAGTCTATGTATTGTGGTTACTATATTGCTAATAGCCTTGATGCATTCCTATAACATAAAATATCAGATGTTAATGCCCATTTTTCCAAACATAATTTTATTAATATAATATTACATTTAAAATTCTCACCACTTAAACCTCATTAGTGAGTTTTCTTCTTGGCCTCTTTTCTCAAACCAGATTTGCATCTGCTGGCGATGATGGAATTATAATTGTGTGGAATGCCCAGGTATGTACCAATTAAATGTGGGCTGTATTAAATGCATTACAGTATGGTTGAATATTTATTCACTAATACTGTGTGGGGTATATTGGCATATTATCATCATTGGTTAATACTTGAGAAAGGTGAGTTACAGATACTCATTTGCAACAGGGACTAGTATTTCATAATAAAGAGATAAATTTTAAGTTTTAAGTGCTGGTGTGTGTGTGTGTGTGTGTGTGTGTGTGTGTGTGTGTGTGTTTGGGCACAGAGGCCAGAGGAGGACATTGAGTGTGCTCTGCTTTTATTTTTCCTTCCTTGCTCCTTCATTCTGGCTCTCTGATCTCATTTTTCCTTATTTTTCCACAGTCTTGCTTAGCTGGAGGCATCCTGTAGCATCACACTATCCACCAGGTGGCTCCAGTCTTCCTCCACCCCACACTGTGCCCATTTGACATTTTTTGCATACTCAATACACATCCTCCCACATACTTAAAATTGCCTGTAGATACTTGTTTAGATTATATTCGATTGCTTAAAATTTGTTTTGAATTCCAAATACATAATTTTCAATGGCTTGTATGTCGATTTTTCTACATAGCTATTCTTATTGCTATTTAAGGCTCTTCAAGTTGGAAAGGGTAAGTTTATTAACATTCTTACTTGTATTTCAGACAGGAGAAAAGCTCCTGGAACTCAGAGGACACACCCAGAAGATAACTGCTGTTATTGCATTTCCTTCCCTGGACTCTTGTGAGGTGGACAGTCAGCTCATCTTGACAGCCTCTGCTGACAGGACTGTTGGTATATCCTTACCCCTAGAGTGCGGTGGCCAGGGACCCAGGGCCTGTGCGTGACTGTGCATTCTGATGGCAAAAATGGTTTCCTTCAAGTCTTCAGGAGATGCTCCCTGAAGTGCTAAGTGACTGGAAGCAGCAGGTCAGGGCTTGTAGTTCTGAAACCCCATGGCTGAAGCAGCTCTTTCTAGAGTGCAAAATTAGAATTCTAGATTCTGTCACATCAAGTTGTGCAAAAGGGACAGATGGAGGTTTTGGGCTTAAAATGCTATCTCGATGTAGGGAAATTAGGATGAATTGGGCTGGAAAAGAATTCACTTCCTCCTCATGTGTGGCCCTCACTGTGAGAACCTGTGTTGCTGAGTGGTTCTGCACAGTAATTAGGTCTTGGTATTTTAAATAAGTTTTTAAAGTGAAGGTACTTTTGCTTTCCTGTACTTTCCAGTTTGAATTTATAATACAACAGAAATGGTACTGTTCTATGAAGTGCTCTTGTTTGCTCCAGAATATTCTGTTTTACATATGTTGACTTATTTAATCTTTAAAATGGCCCTATGAAGTAGGCATTTCTGTCTTTCTCACAAGTGCGAAGGTAGAGGCAGAGTTGGTAAGCCACCTGACCAAGCCACATGGCGAGTGGCCAGCAGCATGCCTGCTGTCGGGGTCCTGAAGCTGTGGCAGACATGCTCCTGATACAGTAGTGTGCATAACACACTCATTATGAGAGCATGCCTTTGTGGAGCCCATGTCCAAGGCTACAGGTGACCGAGTGAGTGTCCATCACTCCCTTTAAAACATCAGATTGGCCAGGACAACGAAGCTCGGTTGGGTTTAGGAGTGAGCCCAGAGGAGGGATGGTTTCCTAGGCCTCTCTAGAACCAGGGCATATATAGGACATGTGACTGGATGTCCCACTTTGAGTGAGCCCAACAGCTGTATCGGTTATAGACATTTTATATACAGGGAGAAAATGTCAAGAAAACATGTAAGTGGGATCATCTCTGTGTGCTCTGCCATTCAGTCAGATACTTAGGCAGGGCTAGACATTATATTACAGATTCAAGCTTTTGTTCTTTTCCCTTTGTTATAATTTCTGCAGAAGTAGAATCTAAAATGCAGTGTCTTTTTAGGCCATTTCTAAGATGCTGTACTAGTATTAGAGACAGTTATTAAAATTGCTGTCACAGTACAAGATAAGGTGCTGGGACACTTACCTTGTAAGCAGTGGCATCATCACACTAGCCATCCATATTACTGCATCATTCATATTTTAAAAAATCCCAGGGAACCTTGACTTTCACATTTTATCCAGATAGAATCGAAATTTACTCTCCTTGGAGCTCCATTATTAACTCTCTTAATTAAATGTTGATGGTAGATTTTTTTTTTTTTTGGTCAGGTAATGGTCTTAAGATCCCACATTTCATAGTTCTTTTAAACAGTAAATTCTTGAGCATTTAAATCATGAAGTCTGTGGAAAGACTGTGAAGGGGGCATTAGAATTGGGAAACTTATGGCAAGAAAACAGCATCTAATTAGGGAGAGAGTTTTTTTTTTTTTTTTTTTTTTTTTTTTTTTTTTTTTTTTTTTTTCTTGTGACACAAACATGAGTATATAGGTATCTCCCTTTTTATATATTTGAAAAATGAAGTAGAATTAATAAAAAACAGATATTATAGGTTTAACTAGATTATGAAATTGGCATTAAAATGTTAACATAAAATGTATGTTAGACATGCTATAAGATGTATTTGCCATACATTTATATTATTTACATTTACAAGTATATGATATGATATTTATATGGAGTGTAACACCATAGGAAATAGTGTTAAAAGTTTATAAAGATCATCATGTTTCTTAAGTCAAACTAAACCCTCACCATGTGCCGAGAGGCCTTATAGTTACGTCAGCATGTACAGTCACAGTCACACACAGTTACTGCTATGACAGTGGCAAACCATGCAGGTACACTATAGTGAACTTTCAGAAACTGCTGGGAGGGGTTGTGGTTTTGGTATAAAACATTATGCACACATTTGCTACATATGGTAAACTGTCCTCAGCAGATGCAGTGTTTGATGCCTATGAAGATTAGTGTTTCAGGACACTGTCTCTGTTGCATCCTCAAGTTTCCTTGTATACAGCCGTAGCTTATTACACCTCCTCCTGAGGTGACGACCTGCCTTATAGATCTATGGCAGTGTAAACACTGGAGAGCTTAGATTTTGTTTAAAGATTTTCTGCCTGTTTATACTTGTGGTTTAATTGTTAATTAGAAATATTATCTCGTAATTAAAGTTTTAAATTCGATTTGGAAATTATTTCTTAACATCAGTGTAAGTTTGGGACTGTGATACCGGCAGACAAATCCAGAGAGTCTCCTGCTTCCAGTCTACTGTAAAGGTAACGTCTGAAGCAAATTCAGGTTTCTATGCTAGTATTTTTTGTTGTTGTTATTCACAAAATGATTTTAATAAATCAGGTGAAATTACTTATTTAGGTTTTACACTTTGTTGCTTTCACACAGTCAACCATATGATTTTAAGACAAGATTTTTGGGATCATATGCATTTAAGGATGGGAATGTTTCAGTTGGAATGAGAGCAGGGCCAAGACAAATGAGAAAGTGGGGCCTGGTAGGTTTATAGCAGGCCCTCCTAGAAGGAGACAGCATTTGCAGAACTATAGCAGGAGCTGTTCTGTTTTTATGCTTTTACCAAGAGAGAGGGAGGCATTTGTCCCTTAACCACTACCTTCTCTAAGGCCCTGAGGACACGTTGGTTTCTTATTTCCCAAATCAAAAATTGTAATGTGTCCATGCCATTTATTTCATTCTTATAAACAAATATTAATTGGGACTTTTATGCCAAAATACTGCCAATGTGAGAGAAACAAATGTAGCTAAGTCTTGTTTCCTTGTGATTCCTGCAGGAGAAATGTTGTTTGTTCTGGGGAAGTTAGCACTGTTCTCTGCTAGCCAGTTTGGGAAAGGCACCAGTTCAAGGCCATCTCCCCCACAGCTTTGGGGACAGCCTGCCTGACAGTAGGCCATTGTCCCTTTTTTTGCTGAGTGCCAGTAGTCAGGCTCATCCATTATTTTCTAGAACCGTAGCACCACTGTGCTGTTATGAAGCCAGTTTGCTGAAGTTCCTGTGGAAGACAGTGCCCTGTGCTGTGCTCTCACTAATCTAACAGTGGGGTGTCTGAGGAAGTCACCCAAGTATTCACTGTATTTTATGTGATATGAAAAAAGTGTTACTTTTGCATTCCTTTAAAATTATTTACTCTTTGAAAAGCTAAAATCATTAGTTTTCAAGTGAAAATCCTTGAGCTGAAGGATCAGAGAACAGTAAGAGTCAGGGGATCCACTTGGGAGTAAGAGGGAGTTGTCAATTAGAGCTGGTCTTATGCCTGTGTGGTAAAAGTACTTTCAAAAGAAGTTTTTGTATTTGCTTGCTCCTGCTGTATGTTTGTTTCACATAAAACTATTTACAAATAAAATCTTCTCACAGTAGTTCAGTGCTTCAGTTTTCCTTAGGTGACTTCTCAGAGCAACTCAGATCAACAATGTAACTCTTTGTCATTTTTTTGACCAAATAAAGTTTTTAATTGAAGATTGGAGTTAGCAAGGAGTCGTAGTAAAATTGGCTTCTGTTTTCTTTCCCTGCTTCTTTGGAGATAAATAGATATGCTTTTCTTGGAAGGCAGAGTGGTGTTATGAAGGCTCTAAAACAGCAGTTTCCAACCTTTGGGGATCACATATCAGATATCCTGTGTATCAGATATTCACATTATATTTCATAACAGCAGCAAAATTAGTTATGAAGTAGCAACAAAATAATTTTATGGTTGGGTGTCCCCAGAGCATGAGGAGCTATATTAAAGGGTCACAGCATTGGGAAGGTTGGGAGCCACTGCTCTGAAAAGTGAGTATATGCATCAAATCAGGGTTTCTACTTCAAGGAAGCTCTATACAGGAAACAATGAGAAATAAAGGTGTAGTCTCATCGTGAAGACACTTTACACTCAAAGATACAAGCAGAGGTCACTGATGAAAATCTAATAAATGAATACTGAAGGCAGCAGACTGAATACTTTCCCCATAAGGCCAGGAGTAAAATAGGAGACTCTGCTCTCAGCACACATCTGTTTACCGTGCACTGAAGGATCTGGACAGCAAAATTAGGCAATAAAAAAGAAATGAGTGGTTGTTTCTGACTCTTTTATGGAAAAGAAGAGCTAAAACTTTCTGTGTTTATATGTGACATGATCTTATGTATAGAAAAATCATAAATCCACACAAAATTGTTAAGGCTAGTAAATTAACTTAGCAAGGTTTCAGGGTACATGGTTGACAATACAAAAATAGTTGTAATTCTATAAAATCAAATGGAGAAAATTCTATTTACAGTAACACCCAAAAGAACAAAATACATAGTTTTTAGAAGTAGGGGATTTATACATTAAAATCTTTAAAACATTGTTCAGTGAAATTTAAAATATGTAAATAAATTGAAAACTTAGGAGCTGGAAGAGAGGGCTCAGTGGTTAAGAGCACCTGTTGTTTTTACAGAGGACCCAGGTTCAATACCCAGCACCCACATGGTGGCTCATGATCATCTGTAACTCCAGTTCCAGGGGACCCAGGGCTCCTGTGGTGCAATCATGCATATGATATGCATACATAATTTCAGGCAAAATACTCATTACAAATAATCTAGAAAAAGTTAACTGGAAAAGTTATATTGAACATAAATCATATGTTCAATAGTTAGATTTAATATTAAGATTTAAACACTACTCAAAATGACCTACGAATGGAATATAATCTCTATCATAAAATTAAATCTTACTTTTTGTTTCAGAAAGGAACAAACTAACCTGAAACTTGATATAGAAGTATAAAGGATCCAGAATAGACAAAACAGTTCTGGAGAGAAACCACATAGATGTGAGACAATTCCTAATTCTAAAACTTCCTTAAAGATACAGTGTTAGGACAGTGTGATACTGGCATAATGATGTAGAAATGCAGATCAGTGGAATAGGATTGAGGGTACAAAAATAAAACCTCACACATATAGACAGTTTGTTTACAAGGGAACCAACACCTTCCAATGGTAGAAAGACTAGTCTTTAAAAAGTAAGGCGAGCCACGTGTAATGTTCGTATCTGAACTTCCTGCTATGGGAGGTTGAGTTAAAGATCAGCCTGGGCAACATAGTGAGACTCTGTCTCAAGAGGAAAGAAGCAGAATCAGATGAACATATACATATAAAAAGGAATAGATTCAATTAGTACCAAGTGATAAATTGGGCTAATTAAGTGGAAACTTTTGCTCTTCAAAGAATACCATTGACAAATTGAAAGTACAATCCCCACCCTTAAATGGGGGAAATACCCCACACACACGTAAATCATTTATCAAACATGTATCTAAAATGTGCAAAGAACTCTTAACAAAAAGAAAAGTAGCACAATTAAGAATAATTTGAAATTTCTCCAGAAAAGAAATGTAAATAGGCAATAAATGCATGAGAAAAGGTTGATCATCATTAGTGAGTGAAATGTGAATGAAAACTGTGATGGGCTACTATTTCCTACATACTGGTACCACTCATGTCTAAAAGACAGGGCTTGAGTGTTAATAGCACATGGAAAAGTCGTACTGTAGCTCAGGCTTTGCTAGTGTGCTTGTAAGATACTACAACGACCTTCCAAAAGATTGGCAACTCATTAATTGTTAAACAATAATCCTCCTGTGTATAGTCCCACCCCAAATGAAAACATGCCCAGACATATATGGATAATGAAATTCAGAGCACCAGTATCCATACTAGTTAAAAAAAAAAACAGAAATAACCTAAACCTCCATCAGTTAATAAATGGATAAGCATATAGAATGTGCATATCCACACAATAGATTATTACTTGCCAACAAATAGAGCAAAGAGCTAATGTAGAACCCAGAGACTAGACACGGTAGACACTCTTAAAATATAAGCTGAGTTTGATTGCTTTCAATTTTTTCTTTCATCTGTTTTAAAAGCGGCCTCATCCTGAGCCCTGGCAAGACCAACACACCCCTTCTTTCTAAATCCTTGTTCTTGTTCTCACTCAGAGTTAGTGGGTGAGTACATGCTCTTGAAGAAAGGGACCCTAAGGTACCATGTAAAGTAAAGGATTCTACATCCTGGAAACACTTTAAGTCTACTAAAAGAATTACTGAGAATTAATTGAATATTTAAAAACCAGTATCGTATTCTCCATTTTATTTTGAAAAGGCCTTTTTAATGATTGTGAGGACATTATCTGTGAGTGGTTCTCAAGTCACCTGAAAGCATGGTGGTTTAAAGCTACAATGAGCATGCAGTGTCTGTTGTCAGGAACAGAGAGCCTCTTAGCCAAGAAGGCTTGTCCAGTGGCTTTGGTACATTGTTGCTCTGTGTTGTTTCAAGGCTTCCTGCTGTGGGACCTTTAGTGTCACCTTGGGGCAGTGAGCTAAGAGAGAACAGGAATGTCCCAGTGTTGACTGTGACCTTACAGATCACATTACTGTGACTGCCTTACAGATCACATGGCTGTGACTGCCTTATAGATCACATGACTGTGACTGCCTTACAGATCACATGGCTCTGACTGCCTTATAGATCACAAGGCCCCTCTGCTCCACATTCTGTGACACAGTATTCTCTTAAAGAGCCCATAATCAGAAAGAAGCCAAACAAACTGCCTATCAAAGGGAGGGGCTTGGAAGAACTTGGGGACACAATTTAAAACCATGGAATAAGGAATGCTAGAATTTCTAAGCTGATAATACATTTCAAATCAATTTTGCAGTGCTTAACTGTTCTTCAGGGACTAGACATTTGGCTTTCGGGTGGTAATGACTTAGGTGTGTGGAACCGAAAATTAGATCTGCTGTGTAAGACCGACCACCTTTCTGATACAGGTAAAAAACCAATCATAGTAATTATGAGATGTGATTGATTGTAAAAGACAGTTGAATCTTTAAAGAGACAAATCAGAATATAATGTGATAATTTCATGTAGGAATATTTTAGTTCTGAGGATTGTGAGTAGCCATATATGATTAGTATTTTCATGTGACACATAATTTAATGAACATATGTATTCACATGTATCTTATTTATACCAAGTATTGGGTTTCAGTATGATATTTTCACACATGGATACGATGTATTTTGATGCTATCTACCCATGCTGTCACCCTCTCTTGTCATCCTTACCTTTACACCAGTCTTTTCTTCTTCCCAAAGTCGTCGTCCTCCTACATATGACAGAAGACCTGCCCTTCTGTCTTCCCACATCTGGCTTATGTTACTTACAGTGATGACCTTCAGTTCCATCTACTTTCTTGAAATAATAGGGTTTTGTTTTTATGGCTGATAATATTCCACTGTATGTGCATATCACGTTATCTCTGTCCATTCATCCATTGATGAACACATAGGCTGATTCCATAAACTCCCTTTATTAAATAGTGTCACAGTAAACATGGATGCATAGGATCTCTTTTACATGATAACCTTTGATTACTTTTAGTATGTATCAAACCCCAGGTGTGGGATAGCAGGACCCTGATTATTTAATAATAATCTACAGTTGGTATATTTCTATATGTGTATGAACGCGTGTGTGTGTGTGTGTGTGTGTGTGTGTGTGTGTGTGTGTGTGTGTGTGTGTTGTGTGGGTATGGGATATGACACATGTATGAAGGTCAGAGGACAACTAGTGTGAATCCTTGTCTTATACCATGTGGGTTCCAGGGTCAAACTCAGATCCTCAGGCTTGGTGGCAGGCACCTTTATCTACTGAGTCATCTCACTGGCCCTTTAGTGAACATTTTCTATGTTTAAAATTCTTCTTCTTCTTCTTCTTCTTCTTCTTCTTCTTCTTCTTCTTCTTCTTCTTCTTCTTCTTCTTCTTGTTCTTCTCCTCCTCCTCTTCCTCCTCCTCCTTCTCTTCCTCCTCCTCCTCCTCCTCCTCCTCCTCCTCCTCCTGAGTGCTGGGATTAACGGTGTATGACACCAATGCCTGGCTTAAAATTCTTCCTTTGAAGAAGGAAGATTTTCACAAGTTTGAGGCCAGCCTGGGTTATGAGTGAGACCCCCATCTAAAAAACAACAAACATGCAATTATATTCTCCTACCCCTTCCATGTCCTTCTCTTGTGCTTTTTCTCATTTCTTCCATGTGTTCACAAAGCATACATGTAAAATATCCCCATTCGGAGGAGAAATTAGGGCAGAAATTCTCTTGACATCCTAACAGTGCTGCTAGTCTTTGACAGGTAGGAAGGAAAGGAAGTGGGACATCCTTACTTGCATATATGTTAAAATTATGTTTATAAATTATATATAGCAAAGAGGAAACTGTTGAACAGTTTCTTGTGAATGTGTTCCAGTGTTTCAACTTCTAATGCTTGAAGTTGTGGTTAGTCTGATACCATTTTATGATTCAGCTATGAAAATATATTCAGTACTCGGTGTTTAAGGCCAAGGACAGTGTGGTGAGCAGCAATCCAGCTACTTGGAGGCTGACAAGGAGTACCCGGACCCAGGCCTATGATAGGCCAGTCTGAACAACAGCAGCAACAAAACCCAACTGACTACAAATTCCACCCATAAATAGATGAAGTGTGGTGGTATATATAGGCTAGTCATTTCAGTAACACAAGTTGTCTTGGAAATGTACTAATTAGCCGTAAATGTGCTGTTTGAGGGCCATTTCTTTGGCTGTTAACTAGAGGGTAGAGCGTTGTGCTAATATCTGGCTGCTCCATAGCAGAACCACTTCCTCTGTGTTCTTCTTCAAGTGCTCTGACAGTCAGGGTTTCAGGAGAAGATAATCAGCTGGTGGTCCTCTTACCTCCTCAGGTTGACACTGTGTACTTGGAGGTGGTGTCCGGTTTCACCAGCCAAAAGCTCAGTCCTCAATAGTTCCTTATCCCATCGTTCCATTGACATGCCCATTTTTTTGTTTCGTTGTGTTTGTTTTTAGATTTTGACCCCTGGTTATAAATCAGGATTAGTTTGCTAGAGTAGTTTACAGAACTAAGGGAAGCACATTTACCCACTTACATTCTACCATGAGAGTACCAAAGAAATACAAAGTGCAGGGTGGGAAGAAGGGGCACAGAACCGTTGTATTGCTAAATGTGCCACCCTGAAGGAACTGTCTTATGTCCAGATCTATCAAATCTGTCTAAATCCTATCCTGGTTTTAATGGAGGCTTTGTTCTGTAGATGTGGATAATCAAACCATTTGTTACTAGTGACCAACATTATCTTCTGCCCCTCTCTCCTTGGAAGTTGAGGGGTGAAGCTGGAAGTGCCAACTTTCTCCTCTCCTCCTGCCTTGGCTCTTCTAGTGGGCGACTCTCATCCCCACTTACCGGGGACTAACCAGACACTAGTCATCTCATTGGGACACAGAAAGACCGTGTCTTCAGAGAGACGAAGGATTTTAGGAGTTGTGTAAGGAAACAGGATGGAGGCCAGATACAGCTTTTCCATTATCACCTTAGCTCATTTAGTGCCAGTGAGCATGCATAGTCTTAAAGTTACACTGAGGGAAACGTCCTTATCTTGTTCAACTGGCTGTCATGTGATAGTGATTATAGCATTTTGAATATACCATGTTACCACCACAGGAGAAATATTCAGAGCCTATTTATATATTTTAAAAAGTCTTCCATACGTATCAGAAACTTACTCATAACTCACTTTCCATGTGTAAGCAGCAAGTGTTTACCAGGTTTCAAACATGTTTTATGGGAAGTGACTAACATAAAATTGAGAAAGTTTTGTTTTTGATGTAACCCATGAGAGAAAATGATTCCCCTTGTTTTATATTTCTTTCTGAAGGGATCAGTGCTTTGGTTGAAATCCCTAGGAATTGTGTTGTAGCAGCAGTTGGCAAAGAACTGAGTAAGTATATATATTTTCTTTATGGTTGCACACACACACATGTGTATATTGCTACGTGAATACATATATACAGGTGTGCTAGAAAGACAAAAGCAGTTTTATTTCAGAGACGTCTGCCTCTGACCTAGCCCTGGCTTCTTGGGGTTGTTGAAAAGATACAGGGCAAACCATTTTCGAAGTGTTAGGTCAGATTTCTTCTCATCAATATATTACACTATTACTTTCTCCTTTTATTTTTATTAAACAATATATCACGTGCTCTAAAATCATTTAGCAGTAGTGTTTACACTCAGTGTTTATCAACGTCAGAAGACTTCACTGATTAGCTGAGAGAATTTCTGGCAGCCACAATTCGAATATGAATGGCTATTAGAATATAATAATTTTGCAAAATCTTTGACATTTGGTGAAATATTGTCAGAGGTACAGGAAGAACTGTGCTGTAACCTATTTTCCAGGGAGGAATAGGAAAAGAGAGACTTGGATAGTTGATTAGCACCACTTGGAAAGGCTGTGAGACCTTAGCACTGTTTCTATCAGGCCTGCTTATCTGAGCATCTACAGCACTGGTTCCAGTGGCCTATCAGAGCACATAGATGGCTCCAGTGGCCTATCAGAGCATGTAGATGGCTCCAGTGGCCTTTCATAGCATGTAGATGGTTCCAGTGGCCTATGAGAGCATGTAGTATACTGATGGTCAGCCTGCACACTCGTCTCATGTCTGCTGTGAACTCTTGAACATTAAGGGGCAGTAACTGGGCCTGTTCACATTTGGAAGCTAGAATTCCTAGAATATCACAGATGTGTTATAAATGTTGGTTGATAAAACCTCTTGATTTAATTTTAGGTTTTATGTGTTGATTAAAGTTAGAATTTATAGTTTAAATAAAAGTATTTTTTCTTTTCTTTTCCTTTTTTTTTGAGACAGGGTTTCTCTGTTTAACAGTTTTTGGCTGTCCTGGAACTCTGTCTGTAGACCAGGCTGACTTCAAACTCAGAGATTGGCCTGTCTCTGCCTTCCAAGTGCTGGGACTAAAGGCATGCACCACCACCACCTGGATAAATAAACTATTTTTTTTTAAGTCAGATAATAAATCAAGGAACACAGTCAACATCTATAGTCAAGAAATTAGAAGCTCTATTCTCAGAAGATTTGTGATTTAATAGTATATGCCCCAAACTGCAAAGCCCTTTTGTCTTGATTAACTGCTATTTTTATCTTCTGGCAGCTGCTGAAGCCTTTGCTAAGTTGAAGGCGAAAGAATCTGGCTTGTTTTGTAGCACTGCATACTAGCCTGTACACATGTGTAGAGAACACTGATAGTGGAAATGACCAGGAGAGTGGCCTGGGCAGGAATGGAGTGATATTACTGATGTGTGATGAAGCCTGAGAGAAAGTGGAGGTGTCAGTGTGGGTTTTGGAAGTCAGCAAAGGAAGCAAGGCAAAGGGAACTGGGCTTAGAGTTTGCAGAGATTATTTAAACCGCTCAAGCACTTGAAAGAAATAGTGTAAATTGGTATAAACAGGTTCTTTTTGGAGGTTTTTTTTTTCCAGTGTGATATATATTTTGCACTTAATGATTTTTGAATTGAAAGGTATTTTATGTTCTTTGAACATTTAGTAAAATAACTGTCTTTTAGTAATTTTTAGGTTGGTAGCACCCACAGAAGGCTTGCTGGAATGGGACATCATTGAAGTTAAACGCCTTCTTGATCACCAGGATAATATTCTGTCATTGGTTAACATCAATGGTAAGCTCTTTGTGTACATTTATGTTATGTACAATTTCAGAATTTCCATCTTCTTTTGTTCCAATATTTCAGAATTACTGCTCAAATAATTTGTTTTAGTGGAGAGTGTTGTTATCTCTTACTCTAAGCTCTGAAACAGTACAGCCTGTCAGATCTCATAGTGTGGCAGGTCTAAGACTTAGGCATGGCAGTTAGAGTAGGGCATAATTATCCTAAGGTACTGCTTGATAGCTGTGGATGCTCACCACATACAAGCTATGAATTCTGGTGCACATTTTGCATTTTGGCATCCTTCATGAATGGCTCTGGCTCCATCACTATCAGTGAGCTGAGTATGACATCACGTGGCAGGAGAGGATCACGAACTCCTGCTCTTGTAGATAAATGATGGCTCACATAATCAGAACTGAACTGGGTGATCTGTATAGGGATCAGACAAGAGTTCTGGTGGAGGTTACAGGCAGGTCGTGTAAGATTGCTGGGAATATGACAGCAGGAAAAGGTACAGCTCCCAAGGCCCCAGAAATCTGGGGCTTGTCTGGCTGTTTTGTAGGATTATGTTCTATAAACATGAGATGGGGGTGAAAGGGAGTATGTAGAACACCAAATGTAGACTTACTTTGTGTCTTTTGTGCCATTTGGTCCTATTTTCAGATGTATCGGTTTGCGTCCTTCCCAGCTTCAGAATCTTCTCCCCAGTAGCCAACATCTTACAAAGCTCAGATGCATGTCTTCCCAAAGATCAGATTGTCTGTGTCGCTGGAAGTACCAGTTGTTGGGCAACTCTTTGTAACCAGAGACTGCTTTCTCTATCCATGAACAGTAGCTCAGAAGGCAAGCTCTTATATGAGGAACCCTTTAAGCAGCCTTGGAAATACTGAACCATGACAAGGTCCTGGAGCTTCTACAAAAGGCAGGACAGGTTCTGGCCCATAATGTTGGTTATATCTAGTTACATATCTTATTTTAGTGGTGAAGCCCTGGCATCATCGAAACAACATGGTTACTTAAAGGAAGATGACCAGTTATTACCGAACATGCCTTAGTTAGCTTCATGGTCCAGCTTTTGTTGTATAGTATCTAGCTAGGCTTATAACTTCTTATGCTTTTTATTTCACTTTACTTTTTGCTGAGGTGAGAAGCCAATGCATTCTAAGCAAGTGTGTACCACCGAGCTACCTCAACCTGAGGCTTTTGAACATTTAAAATTTAAGCTCCCCACTCACTTCCTTCCCTGATAGGTTCTCCCTGTGAAACCCACGCTAACCTTGAACTTACATCCTTTCTGGTTCTGCCTCTAAAGTCCTGCTGTTACAAGCATGGACTTCTACACAGCTCTTAGTCTGGATCTTATGGAAAGCTAAAGAAAAGTCATTAATTAATTAATTGTTAATGAAGGTCACAGAAATTCCATAGTACTTTTTACTTTGCAAACTGTAAAACTGAACTACAAATAATAAATAAGGCAAAGTATTTTCAGGAATCACGCATGGTTAGGTAGTCTGGTGACTTTTGAAAGATTTGATACCTTATATGATTGAGTTCTGTAATTCCCCACTTCACCTTCTGCCCTGCTTCTTTCTGCTCACCTACACATCATAACAAAAGTGCATTAAAAAAGAAAAGAAAACAACAACAACAACAAAAAACTGTGTCTTGTCGGGAGATGGTGGTACATGCCTTTAATCCACCACCAGAGAGGCAGAGGAAGGCAGATTTCTGAGTTTGAGGCCAGCATGGTCTACGGAGTGGGTTCCAGGACACAAAGGAACCCTGCCTTGAAATCCAAAACTAAATAAAAAATATATAATTATACTATTTCTCCCTTCCCATTCCTCCCTCCAAACCTTCCCATATGTCCTTCCTTCTTCTCTTAAAAATGTATAGCCTTGTTTTATTGTTGTTTCATACGCGCGCGCGCGCGCGCGCGCGCGTGTGTGTGTGTGTGTGTGTGTGTGTGTGTGTGTGTGTGTAGCTAGGACTTGCTAAGTCTGTATAATGTTACTTATGTGTGTGTTTTCAGGGATGACCATTTGGTATTTTTTAAAGTTTGGAAAGAAGGCTTAGTGGGTTGGAGGATTTGATGCGCAAGCATGAGGACGGATCTCCAGAACTCTTAGAAAAAGCCATAAGGTGGAGAGCTATGCAGGGCCTCCAGATTCTCCTCCCACCTCCACATGCATGTACAAAAAGTCCACATATCTGCCTACATACATTCAACATAGAAACAAATAACACACAACACAATTTTCTAAAAGTAAGTGCATTTTTGGTGCAGTGGCCCCAGAGCAGTCTTGGAATGATATACTTGAACTCCCCAAAATATGCTTGCTATGTACCAAACTTGCTGAAGGGATCTGAATGCCCAGGGTGTTCCTAAGACATAAGCTGATGTTCCTACCCTCTTCTGACTAAGGGCTCTCTGCATTCATTTCATTCCTTTGCTTGCTCTGTGCTGACAGGATGGTGATCTCAAGATTAATGCTGTGAGGTATGGACAGATAGAATGCTGGGAGAGATTTTCCTAAGTGAATTATGAAACTTCAGGATGAAATATACCCACTGTTAGTACATCATGGAGGATGTTTGGTGTGAAACTTTTTGAGTCACTTGTCTGGAAACACAAATAACTTACACAGGGAGAAACTAAATGCTAACTAAGGTGAATGCCAGTCTTTAGCTTTTAGTGAAAAGATCCGATGGGGTCATTGATACTGTGTTTCTGTTGTGTAAAAGAACCACAGAGGGGACAACTGTGTGGTCTCAAAGTTTTAATTCTGTGATGACTACAGACCCAGACTTACAGTCAATGAGTGTCCTTTTTATCCTTAAGTTATTTGATTCTTTTGGAGTGGAGTGAAATTGGAGGAGGCCATGGAAAGATTAGTGCTGCTGATGTACCCCAAACTGCCATAGTGTTAAAACCAGAAAGTTGTTTTCCTCCAGAGATCATAAATAAGCTTATTTCTTCACACAGCAGTTCTATAGTGTGTCAGTAACTACAGACATCAATAAGCTACCTATTATAACTCCTAGACCAAGATAAAAATAATGTTTATATCCACTTGGCTAGTGACTTTTATTTCTAAGATATTGTTCATCTGACTATGGCAGATTTCTCTCCTGTTGGTTTATTTGACAGATGGAATAATGAAGTTATAATTATCTACCTGTGTATTCCTAAGTTGTAAATCACTGTACATTTAAGTATTATTAATGTAGAGGAATACCCATACTCAAAATAATATCTGATTTTAAAAAGCTAGATATTTATTATTTAATTTGTTTTCTATAATCATCCTCATTTAATGCATGAAGAATCCAAGATAGGGAAAAGTTAATTTTTTTGAGACTATCTGGCTAGTATCAGGCAGAGCCAGAACTGTAACTTGAGTTTTATGCTCAGTGCATTGTTCTGTTCTGACTTAACTTAAATATGTAAGAGCAGTATCAAATCCCATTTGAGAGATAATTTTTAGTCTAGCAGTTGCATAGTATCTATTAAATATGTAATATATAAGTTGTCTAGGTCCTTAATTTAACTCTATCTGAGGGTTTTAAAACTTATTATAAGTTAAACATAGTCATAATAAAAATATGATAATAGCAAGAAACAGAATTAAATTAAAAAGGAATTAAAATGAAAATTGTGCCATCATTCAGTATCAAACACTAGTCCATATTTTTCTATGTATTTCCTGAGCATATTTACATATGTGCATTTGTATGTCGTATATACATGGTATGCTGTTGGGTGTTTTATTTTGTTTTTGTTTTGTTTTGTTGTTGTTGTTGTTGTTTGTTTCTTGGGACAGGGTTTCTCTGTGTAGCCTTGGCTGTTCTGGAACTCTCTCTGTAAACCTGGCTGGCCTCGAACTCACAGAGATCCACCTGCCTCGGCCTCCCAAGTGCTGGGACTAAAGACGTGGGCCAATGCCACCTGGAAGTTTACCGTTTTATAAGAGTATGGTGTGAACATAGTTCCATGTCAATATAAACATATTTTTATAGCTTAATTTTCAACAACTAGTATTGTTTATTTTATGGTTGTCATATTTAGCCAACAGTTTGATATTTAGGCTGACCTCAAATTTTTAGGATTATGTATTGCAGCTTTGTATATAGATTGTTATGCATTTCCCTCAGGATAAATTCCTTGAAATGGAACTGGTGGATAAATATGTTTGTTATTTTACAGTTTGACTCATGTTGTTAATCTTTGAAATAATTGTGTGATGTTGTGCCAAAATGTATTAAAATGTATTAAGGCATTAGTAGTATGCAAACACACTGATTCCCATATATTCTTCCCCTATACTTTATATATCATTTAAAATTTGATTGTTAAAGTAGTTAAAATTCTAGAAATAATCCTATCACATATTTATTTCCCATCTATCTTCTTATTCTTAGTAATTCCCATGAGTGCAATATTCACTGAGAATAATGAACTGTTTTGATATTTGAGTTGCCAATTCCCCCCATTTTTAAAATCATATGTGTATCTTTTTTTTTTTTTTTTTTTTTTTTTTTTTCATAAGCAGGTATTTCCTTGTCTGTCTTCCCCTGTCCTGCTGCTCTTAGTGTCCTCTAACCACTCTGTAACCATAGAACTACTTACCTTATTTTAACCATGCCCATAAGTACCCTCAGTGTTTTAATTGACAAATTTTTAGCATTTCATTTAAGATAAGATTCTTTTATTTCTATTCCTGTAAACATTGACCAAACATTATAGATGGCATTTTTATTGGCACAAACTGTAATATTTATCTTCAGTCAGAGAATTAGTCTATTTCTGGCTTCTTACTGTCATATTAATCTTTCTGTTTAGCTTGTCTAAGTACAATTAGGAAGCCTATTCATTTTTATTTTTAATCTAGAGAACATGATCAGTAATTGAGCATTTGTGAACTTTTCTAGATAAGAGTTTCGTCACTGGCTCCCATGTTGGAGAGCTGATCATTTGGGATGCCCTGGACTGGACTGTGCAGGCCTGTGAGCGCAGCTTCTGGAATCCATCTCCACAGCCGGATGCCCAGCAAGAAATAAAACTCTGCCAAAAACAAAATGACATTTCTATTAATCATTTCACATGTGATGAAGAGGTAAAGCGTATAAACTATAATTGTTAAAAATAAAAAGTATCTGCTATTTAAAGCCTAATATGTTGGACATATGATTCTGGGCTGCTGAGAGGGCAAAGGCACTTGCCACCAAGCCCAACAACCCAAATTCAACTGACAGGATCCAAAGGAGGGAGAGAAACAGTATACAAATGTATTCGAGCATACATGTACACACACACACACACACACACACACACATACACACACACACACACTCAGGCTCACAGATTCTAAAATGGCCTGATAATTTTATAAAGAATGTACTACTTATATTTAAAAAGAGCACTTTAGTACTTGTTCCTAATCTCGCATGCAAAGAAACTATTTGAATACAAGTTTACATACCTATTTGGATTGGATTAAGCAATACCATCTTGTTTGAGGTTACTTTTGAAAAATTCAGTAGTAGTGCTTTTATTTTCTTTGGTGTGTGTGTGTGTGGTATGCATGCACAGTTGTGCTATGACCCACGTGTGAATGTAAAGATAATTTTCAGGAGTTGGTTCTCTTCTTCCATCACATGGTCCCAGGAATGGGACTCAGGCCATCAGACTTGGTGGCAGCCACCTTTACCCACTAGAGCCATTTTATCAGCTCTTCAGTTTCTTAAATTTTAACTTGCCCATCTGGAAAGTAACAATAATGCTTTCCTCTCACTCCTCAATAGATGCTGTAAGGTGGAGGTGAAGGGAACATTAGCAAAATACCCTATGAAGATGAAAGTGTCTTAATAAAAAGGGATTTATTTATTTTTATTTTTTGTAATTTTTTTATTAGTTCAAATTAGGAACAAGCTTGTTTCACATGTCAACCCCTTCTCCCTCTCTCTGTTCTCTCCCTCCTCCTTCCCCTCCCCCCACCTACCCCTCACTCCATCCACCCTCCACTCCCCAGGCAGAGTAGGGCCCTTGACAGGGGCTCTCCAAAGTCCACCACATCATCCTGGGCCGGGCCTAGACCCTCCCCCATATGTCCAGGCCGAGAGTGCATCCCTTCACATGGGATGGACTCTCAAAGTCCCTTCTTACACCAGGGAAAAATACTAATCCACTACCAGGGGCCCCCTAGAGTGTGGAGGCCTCCTCATTGACATCCATGTTCAGGGGACTGGATCAGTCTAAAAAGGGATTTCTAATACTATGTTTAGAATTTTTTTAATTCTTCAGATGACTTAGAATAGTGCCACCACCAAATATACTTCTTCAGGTTGTTTATAGGCAGTTTGATTGCTTAAGATGTGCAGTGCAAGCCATTTTGCCTGCATTTCCAGACAAAAGCAGCAGAGTAAATGCCCAAGGGTACTATGTTCTTTCTTTGGAAACCCAGGCTGTGCCTTGGCACCTTCTGCTTCAGGGCCCTGGTAGCAGCCATCCCTCCCACAGCTCAGGTCTCCAGAGAGCCTGAAAGCAGAGCTGAGCTGCCCTGTGCAGAGCCTTCCACCTGCTTGCTTAGTGTGCTAAGCCTTCCTTGGTGACTGGCACTGGGGGCATCAGAGGGTAACACTGAAGGCTGGGAAGGTAACAGTGGCTTCCCAATGCCACACAGAGGCAGGGAATCTATTATACCAGGTAGTGAAGACTAGTTTTATGCCAATTTCTGAACTTTCTCCACCCCTGCCCACCAGAATATATTTGCTGCAGTTGGAAGAGGGCTGTATGTGTATAACCTACAATTGAAGCATGTGATTGCCTGCCAGAAAACCGCACATGATTCCAACGTCCTACACATCGACAGACTTCCCAACAGGTACATTTTCCCATCTCTCTGCAAAGATGAAAGACAGTCACGGTTCCTAGTGCCACCAGCGTCATTTCTGCAGTGGGCAAATTACCTGGTCTGACCTTGATATTCTTTTGAAAATAGAGAATGTTCTGTGACTGACGGTAACTGAAGAGTTTTTGGCACTATATGACAAAATTTTATAAGGGCAAAGTTAAATGAAATACACTGTGTTTTGTTTTAGAAGGATTTCTTTATAATTGTTACTTAATAAGGTAAAAGACCTGGATCACTTACAATGTACTATTTTTTCTCTTTATATTTTCTATAAACTCATTTTTTTAATGGTGGCATATGTTTATGGCTAAAATCAAATAGTAGCCCTTACTGGCTGAGGCTACTAAATGAGGGTTGCTTTGGCAGTTAAGATTCCACTGAGGAAATCTCATAGCTGTCCGCAGTCAGCTGAGGGCTCCCGTGATCTCAGCAGCAGGCAGTTGGCCTTCCACGGTGCTTTCTGTCTTTTTCTCTCTGCCTTTTTTTGTCCTGACAGGCAGTTAATCTCATGCTCAGAAGATGGCAGTGTGCGCATTTGGGAGGTCCGAGAAAAACAGCAGCTGGCAGCAGAACCTGTCCCAACAGGTGTGTGCCATCCCCACAAAGCAATGTTGTTCCCTCTCCCTCCTTTCTCTCTTTTCTCCCTCCCTCTTCTTCCTTCTTTTTTCCATCTCATCTGAGGGGAAAAGTTGATAATAAAGAGCCACAGGAGCTGTACAGAATGTGCTTTCTGAAGCCTGAGACATTTACAGGGTGCCTACGGTTCTTGGGATCGGGAATTTGCATCTTAATTTCACTTCAGTGTAAAACTATCTCTGTTTTCAAATGAAGACAATTGCAGTTTTATTATTTTGAGAGAAAACCGTGACTTTCACATAATCCGAATGACCAAGTAGCCTACTGAAGTAATTAAACATTTATAAAATTGCCTATCATTCTGAATGGCACACAAAATTTGTACCATTGGTATAAAAGCATTATTGTTAACACTGAATGCAATTTACAGAAAAAAGAAACAACTTACCTTTCTTTGTTAATACCATAATCTCATGAACTCTTTTAGGTATTTGGGAAATGAGTCTGGATTAATTATCAATCCTTAGTAAGTCATACTTTCTTATATTTTTCAGAAGTTCTCTCTCTCTCTCTCTCTCTCTCTCTCTCTCTCTCACACACACACACACACACACACACACACACACACACACACACACACACACACACACGATTTTCCTCTGTCTTTTATTGATAGGTCTGAAGTGCTCTTCCCTCCCTGATTTTTGGTGGTTACATGCAACCTTTATGGCTTTTATGGCTGTTTACTTCTTTTACATTCCAGGGTCTGTTTTATTTCTTGCCACTAGTAGATGAGTAGGGGCAGGAGAAGAGATGTGGAGCTAGGTAAGTTAAGAAAACTACAACATAATATATTCATAGATCCCAGCTAGTGATTGGTGCCATCAGCTTAGCCCTTGACAGACATAAGTATGAGGCATGGTTGTATTTAAATTTTTGCCTTTCTGTAAGGAAAAGAATAGTAGTTTTTTAAATGACTGAAACAATTGTCTTTTTGTAGGGTTTTTTAATATGTGGGGATTTGGAAGAGTGAACAAACAAGCCAGCCAACCTGTTAAAAAGCAGCAAGAAAATGGCACTACGTGTTCTCTGGAGCTCATTGGAGATTTGATTGGCCACTCATCCTCCGTGGAGGTACCACTTTCAGTAGGCATGCAGACCAGGCAGTTCCTGCTTGTGCATCATGGTTCTTTTTTTAATGCAGTTGCTCTAAATGAGACTCACACATCCCCAGCTGTAGGCTTTTGCAAGATACTAATCTAGAATAGGACAGTGATAGTACAAGTAGTTAGGATCATCCCTCATAGAGATAGGATTTGAAGAAGTAAGCAATGTATTGGTTTAAGAACAGCTTAATCACCATTGTATAGGAGGTGGAGATAGCTGATTGATCATAGGGCAATGTTAGTGATTTGGAATGTGTATCACAATAGTCAACAGAGGAAGCATGGAATGTTGTGGCTCTGTGTATAGGGTAAAAGCCTTACCAATCTAATTCCAGGGATCATAACCAAATTCAGGATCAGAGTATTGTTTTTCCCCTGCCTTTGATTAATACCATTTATAGAAACCTGTTGTCGTATCACTTTGCATTATGAAGTTTAGGAGCTATGTACAAGAGTCTCACTTGTGGCATTGTAGACAGTAAGCATCATTGTCTGCCATGAAGGAAGGAATTAATGGCAATAAAGAGGTGATGGGAACTGGTAACCATGTAAGGATAGCAGTGGGGGGGGGGAGCTCTAAGTAATACATTTCCTGAATTTTTGTTTCTTAGCCAATGAAGAACAAATTAGTTGTAATTTGGGTGGGCGGGCATCCATAGTTTGAAGCAGAAACCACACTGGCCATTGACCATTTCCTGGAGTTTAAAAAGAGAAAATACAATCCTTGTCCTCATGGATCTTATACTTCAGTAGAGAGGAAGGAAAGAGACCTTTCCTTCAAGACAAGTTACGACTGGCCCAGGTGAAAGGCAGTTAGGAGTTACAGGAACATTTCTTGCTGTATCCTGTAATCCTGTAAAGTTCTGTAGAGATAGAGGATTTGAGGTGAGCCTTAGGTGAAGTTGCATTAAAAGATACATGGCCAGTTCACTAAGTGACCCCTTTTACTGAGTGCTGTGTCTTGCTCATCTTTGCTGTCCTTTAAGAAGAAGCTCAGTGCTTTGTTTTTATCTTTCTTTTTGCTTGAGTGGCTGTGGAGCAGATTACAGGCAGTGAGCATAAATGTGGTAGACCATAGGCAGAGATAGTTGTGGTAACCAGGTTGTGTGAAATCACTGGGTTTCCATGAACAGACATTAATCAGATAAAAAGCTTGAAAAAGTAAGCCCAAGGAGTTTGGGCTTTACTTTTAAAATAGTGGGAACTCACTGAACATACTAAAAATGTTTTATGGGTATTTTGCCTGCAGTGCTGATGAAGGCAAGAAGAGGGTGTTGGAATCTCTAGGGACTGAATTACAGCTGGTTGTGAGGTGTTATGTAGGTTCTGGGAATTGAACCCAGGCCCCTCCAGCTGTCCATTAATAGTTTTCAATGGTAGAGAAGAAATGACACATCTGTTATTATAGAAGTGAAAGGTTTAGGAACTTCCTGAAGGTGTTTGCACTTTTGTCTCCTCGCTGTCCCCCAGGGCTTTCCATACTCTATACTTGAGACAAGTGCTCTGACACCAAGCTACCCTTCATCCTGCATGTCAGCATTTCTCAAAAGCACTCTAAAATTCAGACTCTGCTGCTACCAGGTGCTGCCTCCTTCATGGCTTTTGTGTCCTCACCCCTGCTGCCCAGCCCTGCCTGGCCCTTCTGCCCCAGTCTCCTGAGAAATTTTGCTCCTCTATTTCTCTTTTGTTCCATAGTCGTCAGTAAGTCCTGACCTTTGACCTTACTCTCTTGTCCCTGCCTTTTGTTTGGCTCATCCCTTTTTACACTGGGTCACTAAAGGGCCTCACCCTAGTCTTGGGTTTCTCTCTCCTAACCCTGCCTCTCTCACAGTATCCATCCTTTGTTGGTTCTGCACCTAGCCTCTGTTCTCTTCTGTCCCTAGCATGCCCTTTTCCTTTACTTGGAGAGTTTTCTCTGGTGATAATTCTACTGTTACTGCTGGATCTACACTCTTACAAGTTTCTGAGGCATGCCACAGTGCAGTTGATTACAGAATCTTTCATTGGGACCCCAGTTGCTGCAGGTGGCCCTGGCTTTCAAGCTGAAGTTACTCAGTAAATGTTATGCATTGACTCTGCACCTCTACTTTACAGAAATCGCTGAAGTGTTTATCTCAGGAAACTTAGTTGGTAGCCAGTTTTTAGTAAATAATGCAAGTGTGAGGGGACTCGCACCTAACAGAATCTTAAAGCCAACATGAATAATTAGATTGTGGTAAACTCAGAAGATACCTTGAGAAATCACTGTTACTGTGGTTTATCAACAAAATCCATTACAATATTAAATACTGGTTGTACCAACAGGTTGTGAAAAGGAAATTTTTCACTAAGCTTGGTGGCATATGCCTGTAATCCCAGCACTCAGGAGGTTGTGGTCTTCAAGATAGTTTAGACTACATAAGTGAGTCCTAGCTCAAAACAGCAAAGGTTGGGGAGGTGCCTCAATGATAGAGCTGGGAGACCCTGGCTTGGCTCACCAACCCTGGAAACAAGAAAGTCATTCATTAGAGAATAAGATACCATTGCACTCAAATCCAAAGAAACCTCCTCATCTGTTAGAAGCATACACAGTATCTTAGCTTTAGCCTCTTCTTGATGGTCTTGAACTAGTGTTTTAATTTATTCTACAGATGTTCCTGTACTTTGAAGATCATGGACTAGTAACATGCTCTGCAGATCATCTCATTATTCTGTGGAAAAATGGAGAGCAAGAATCTGGATTCCGAAGCATAAAGTTATTTCAGAAGTTAGAAGAGGACGGTGACTTACACCCTGCTGTCTAGTTGAAGGAATTGAACAAATATATACATGTGAGCCTTGGACAGCAAATACAGAACCGTACTCTGAAAACCATAGCACACTGATGACTTAGATTTGTAATGTTGTTCTTGCCTATGAAGTTCTGTATGTCTGACAGAAACCAGTATGTCCACCCAAGAACATAGCACAAGTTTCCACTGGACCTTTCTTCTGTGGAAGTGGTGGGTGCTGTGTTCTGTTTCTTAAAGTGATAGGAAAAAAGAGGTACTGTAAAGTTGTCACATTATTTAGAAGTTTTATTTTGGGTTCCTTTAAAGACCGTTTTAAGAATTGTCAGGATAAATATATCCCTTCTGCTACAAATTCTCCTGCTCCTTATTAGCTATCAGTGTTCACGTGAACCAAATTGAATATTTGCCAAAAAAAGAATTATATTCTGTAAGTATAATGATTCTTTTTGGTACCAACTAATTTAAGTCACTGAATAAAAAATTTTATTGTACCTACTAGAGTCCTTCTGTGCTCCAGGCCACAGGCATCATCTGAGGGTACATTGTTTTTGGCCTGAAGACTAGTACTTGGGTGTTTGTTTCTGTGGTGAGGTCTAGGTTAGGAGAGAGACATGACCTTTCTGAGGTCAGGAACTATAGCTGGATTGCCTTAGCCATCTGCTTTGCCTCTGCCTTAACATGAAAAGGTCAAAGACAGCCTCATTATTTGGCTTATTGAACATCTGCTAAGACTGGACCACCTCCATCACCCTCCCAGCCTTGTGACAATATTCTCACTTTTGGCACTGAAACATAAAATGTATTCTACGTAGTAGTGAGGGTTATTCCTGAACTGCTCGTTAAGGAATCTTATTAAAGACAAGCAAGATGAGTGATGTTAGGCATCTGATCCTGCTCCAAGAGAATATCTGTGTACACTTGGGTTCTGTACTCCCTGGATAGATGCTAGACATTCTTGCTTTCACTAGTTTCAACTTTCACAGCTGCCTACAAAGATTGGTAGCCTCAACATGGTAGGTAGATGAGTGGCACAGTGTTAGAAGTGAGGAAACCAAGGCCTGTGGAGGTAAGTTCGCTCTTTAGTGCCCATTGTCATCATCGAAGAGCCTTAAAAACAGACAAAGAGGAGAGTGAGGAAGGCGACTATGTTAGGAAAATCAGTGTTCATAGTCCTTGCTGCTGTTGTAGTTTATAGGAAAAATAGGGTTTTTTTTTTCAGCCACTCCCACAAAAATGGCATGAATCTATTCTCACATCATGGCCTCATTCCCTCTTTTTTTTTTTTTTTAATTAGAAACAAGCTTCTTTTACATGTCAATCTCAGTTTCCTCTCCTGCCCCACCAACCCACTATCCCATCCCCTTTCTGCTCCCCAGGGAGGGTGAGGCCATCCATGGGGAATCTTCAGAGTCTGTCATATCATTTGAAGCAGGGCTTAGGCCTTCCCCGTGTGTCTAGGCTGAGAGAGAGTTCCCCTATGTGGAGAGGGCTCACAAAGTTCATTCGTATACTAGGGGTAAATACTGATCCACTACCAGAGGCCCCACAGATTGCCCATACCTCCAAACTGACATCCTCGCTCAGGGGGTCTGGAACAGTCCTATGCTGGGAAAATATTAAAATAAAAGCTAACTTAATTAGGACATAGCAGCATGAGAATGAGAAGATTAACAGTATCTTTTAGTCAGCAAACCATTGTTATTTGAGGAGTCAACACAAGAGGCAGATTTCTCATCATTCTTCCTGAAGATGAAATGTGGGTAGCGTCCACCAGCCAGGCAGACATTCAGTCTGCTCTATGCATCCGCTTGCTGGTCACTTTGGCTTCTTTATTTTAGAGTCACTTAAAGCTTTGAAGTTTGTTCTGTTGCTTTGAATTTTGCTCCCCCTTTTACTAGCTAGTTTTTCCTTTGCAAATTTTGTATTAGGCCATTAGTAAAGATGTTTTCTTAAATGATGTAAGACAAAGAATTCATAGGGTTTTTGTTTTTTGTAACTGTTTCCTTGCCTGTTTTGGATTCATGTTTTGTGGTAGTCTTCTGTTTAATGGAGTGGCAGAAGCCATGCTTGAGTTTTAAGAGCAGACAGGATCTGAGTCGAGCATTGCTGTTGTTCCACTGTAGCTGACTAGTTTCCCACCTCTAGAGAGAACTAGAGTGTTCTGAGGGAAGCCTTCAGTCTACTGAAGACCCGGTGTGAGTGTCCTGAGGTTAGGGAGATGGAGCATGATAGGTGGCCATGGCAGGACCTCTGCTGTTCAGGAGTTCCATGTAGACTATTCCTAAGACTTGAACTTGCAATTTAGAGGAAGGCAATCAGAGCTACGACCAGTATATATTATGTGCATGTTTTTCTACCTCCCTCAGCTGTCTGCATTAGATCACGATGTATCGTGTGCCCTGTAACATCACAGGCTGAGTGGGTGCCAGTTGTGCCAATGATACCCATTCTTTTCTGGGGAGGATGGCCACCCCTGACTGACCAGTGGAACTATTCTGGTTCACATAACAGTATTTTACAACTAACTTCCCTCTTTGGCAGAGTAATTAACATGACTTCCCTTGCCTTTGTGCTTTCCTAAGTTAATATAGGTCTTTTCGACACATGGTGTCATAGTTACAATAGTTTATATGCATTGCATAGAAATTATCTGAGATGCATAACCATTACCAGTCCATGATTCTGGTAACTTGGAAGACTATGCCTCTTAGCAACTCAGAAGATCACTGTAACTTACACTGAAAATGAGCAGGTTATACTGAACCTTTGGCACCTGGATGCCTTGCAGCAGTCAGCATCCATATGCTATAAACAGTTGAAGTTAATGTTCTATATAGGAAATGTCAGGTCCCTGGCAAATGTTCCTTACCAAGTGGAACTGAAAGCAAGCTGCTCAGAAAGATTGCCCTTGTATCCAGCAAGTTTCTGAGGCCCTGCACTCTGATGTTAGTGTTCCGAAAATAGACTTGACGACTCATGAAATAAAGGACACTAGAACCCCAAATTTGAAATTATGAAAAGTTTAGGCCAAAGAGATAAAATAAAAACAGCTGTTGGGAATGAAAAATGGCTGTAAGAATTTAGTTACAAGTACTTCACAAAAACATCTCATCACATGTACACAATGCGGCAATACAATACAAAGCCAGCTCTCCCCACCAATCAAGCCTTCTTACCGTCTAACAAAAATAATTTAGATGCATTTCTGTGCATGGAATTGCCATATATGTTTACACTTTTGTACAAAACATAGAAAAAAAACATTGGCACGTTACATGATAAGTTGTCTTTTTTCTCCCATGTACCGATTTTTTTTTTTACATATTCTGCAGTCCAATTTTCATTTGGAAAAATGTAGCTACTGGTTCAATTAGTTCAGCTTCTATGCCTCTTAAAAATGCATCATGGAGTACAGGCAAAACAAAACTAAGGTGTTTTGTTTACTTTGTTTCTGATATTCATAATACATAGAGAAGGGATGGCTGATAAAAGAGAAAGGAAAAATCTCCAGTCTGACTTTATGCAGAGCACAGAAAGTTGTGAAAAGAGTTGTATAAAAATATGCACTTGTGCTTTAGAAGCCTTACCATACAATTAATAGATTAAAATAGTATTTACTGCCTCTCCATATGCCTATGTTCTGGTATATTTACATTTCTTGCAATCCCTTTTTACATCATTAAAGCAAATGGCATGATCTCAAATATAAATTAAGAATATCTGAACCTTGACACTTCCCCATTTCCTCCCCAAATACATGTAATGCCCAGCAAACTCTAGGGGTGAAGATCCAGGGCATTTAGGATGTTTGAATAAAAATTTTTGAACAGCAAATATATATATGTATATATATATATAAATTTTTCTTCTCTTAAATGTTTTTTTTTTAAAAAAAAGCTTACTCACGAGCATTCAGATTTAATGGCTTTTATAGATACTCTTGACTTGTAGCTGTGTCCATGATCCTGGAGTAAGGGACACTCAAGGACCCCCCCACCCCTAACTCCTTCCCATCAGTTAGCTTCCGATAAGGTGAGTGCCTTCTAGGAAAGAGGGCTCCGCCCATCTGAGGGACACTCATAGCCAAGGCTATGTTCTCACTTGGGTGTCACACTAACAACCATGTAGCCATGGAAACCGGATGCTAACTAGTTTATTGATAATTTTGTCCTCATTCTGCTCTTCTTAAGGTAGCTCTTTTCTTACACATGTGTGCTCAGAGAAGCTTTTTTTCTTTTTAAGGAATCCTCCATACTCTTGCCTTTGAGGAAAGTAGTGAAGTTAATTATCAGTAGTGAGTTTTCTGGTGAAAGCTGAGTTGAGCATTAGCCACGCTGCTGGCCGGGTCTCCATCAGAAGGATGGACTTCCAGACGCCAGGTCTCTGCTTCTGGTGTCCTGCTTGTAGCTACAGTGAGTCATTCAGCTCCATGGTTTTTGTAAGAGCACACACAGCATGGCAGAGGAAGCTGCCAGGTGGTTCTTTTTGTCACCAAGTGATTCAAAGGAACATATCTTTACTGATGGAATACAACTTCCTGAAAAATGAAATTTGGGGGCGTGCATGATTCGGGTCAGATATTAAACACTAGCTCCTTAATCTACACCTGTCATTTTCATCAAGGAAATCCTCTTGTCCATGCTACTCTGTGGTTCACAGTGTCCATCATAGATCAAGAGGCCCCTCTCTGGCCCGGCTTTAGCTCTCAGATGGAAGTCTCAGACTTTTGCACTTGAGGTCATCCAGTGTCTTCCAGTGTTTGTAGTTATCTGCCAAGTGCTGCATCAGGGCTGGCAGGTGCGCAAAGGCTGCAAGGACATGAACAGAATCCAGAGAAACCCATTACACTAAGTTGGCTCTCAGGAGTACTTATTAGGCTTGCCTTGGAGTTCAGAAATAGAGGAGATAGTAACCTGCTTGCCATGCAATCTTGAGGGCCTGAGCCCAGTCCTCAGATCATAGAAAAAGGCTGGCCATGGTAGCGTGCACTTGTAATCCCAGCTTTGGGGAGACAGCTACAGGTGTATCACTGGGGCTCACAAGCCAGCCTCCCTAACCCAGTTGGGAAGCTCCAGGCCAGTGAGAAACCCTGTATAAAGAAAAGAGAGGCTGGCTCCTGAGGTACAACACCTAACATCTGTTTGTATATGTACCCCACAAAATGAACAGCAGGGTAGATAACCCCAAGGCCTCAGGCTGCAGCTCAACATATGCATGAGAACACAAGTTTTCTTTCTTTCGTTTGTTTGTTTGTTTTGTAGTGCTAGGAGTTGAACCCAGGGCCTTGTGCACTAAGCAAGCAGTCCTCCACCCTGAGCTATGAGCTATAACCCTAGCCCTAATGCATGAGCTGCTGAAATAAACAGCCTTTTTATGGAACTCTCTTGAACCTGAAATTCACATTTTGCTTAATGGAATTTCTTCCGGTGTGAGAATGAAACAGTTGTCCACTTTGGGAATCCATCCATTGAAAAGGTGAAGACTTACCCATCCAGGTAACACATATTCATCAGGTATGATGTACTCAAGATTGTGTCAGATGCTGGGATGCATCTACTTTAGCTGCCTGCAAAGGGCTCATTGTGTGCGTCTGTGTGTGTGTGTGTGGGTGTGTGTGTGTGTGTGTGTGTGTATAAACATTTTGTTTACCTTTAGGCCCAGCCTATGCCCCTAATGGTGATCTTCATTAAGTACAATAGAATGTCCCTTGTGGGTAATAAAACAACATCTAACTTACCATCCCAAGCATCAAACATGTCCGTTATAAAGTAGTCAATGAAGGAGATCTGGGACTTGGGGATGCTGCAGGTATTACGGTCGAACACTGGCATCACAACAGGTAGCCCCTGCCTCTTCTCCTCATCTGTCTATGAGGGGAGAAGAACAAAAACAAAAACACCACTGCACAGGGCTGTGGGACACATGAGAAGCCTTCACAGCCATGGCATGTTTCTCAGAAGAACCCTAGAGAACAGAGAAGTTTAGCAGTTTCCTGAGATGCCCCACAGCGACCTTGTTCAGGTCTCCTCACTCTCTCTACACTTCACTTCCTCCCCTCTCCTCTCTCATGAACTGAAGCCCTAAAGGATGCTAGGGCAGTGTTTCCCAAAGAGCTGCAGCATCACTAACTAGCCCTCATGGCATACACTGGTCCAGGGCTACTCCTGAAGCACTATAGAACTTAGACCCTTTTCTGTAATCTGTTTTTATTTTTGTAAGGTTATATCTATATTCCTACTTAGCCTACTGCCACTAATTGACATTTGCAGCAAAGGTCAAACTACCCATAGCAGTGAACCACACAAGTTAGAAACAACAGTCACTGTATTCCTGGCTGCATGCTTGCAGATTTTTTTTTTGTTACTATTTTCACTTAAAAAGGGTATTATGCAGCCATGAGAATAACCTGTTTTTAAAATCTTAACCTTTCAGTATGTGTCTTTTAACTATTCTGCTTGGCAAGATGGCAAGTACAGAAAGCCTTCGTGCTGCAGCCACAATCAGGGTGTCTCTAGGATGAGGACATTGGAAGCTGGGCTGTGATCTGAATGCTGCTTTTCCTCGGGGAGTGTTCACACACAGCTGCCAAGGTGCCTGGAGATCAGAGTATGTGCATGTCGCAGTGTGTGTTCCTGTCTGGACGCTTGAAGCTGAGTGGCGAGATCCACATTTCCTGATAATGCCCGGGGCTCATCACCAGCTTCATTTGCAGTCTGATTTTCAGATCGTACTGAAAAGGACACCTAAGTTGGAAGCTCCCATCAGAGAACTTAACCATGGCACATTCTCCCTGTGGCAGTAACTGGACTCAGGCTTTAAATTCTTTCCCTGTGGGTCCCAGGAAACCCGTTAATGACTTCTGGCTCAGCTCACTCAGTTCATCAAGTAGCCTTAAAATATTCACTGGTATTCTTGGAGTAATTTGTTTTATACCTTCATCCGGTCTACTCCCTCTATCCCCCACCCCCTGACTACCCTTCCCCAACATGGGTAAGCTCAGAGCTGCCTGTCCGACTTTTCTGCAGTTCAGAGGCTCCTTTCCAGCCTGCCCTGTTGTACAGGGTTAGCTGTTCTTTATCCTGCCTCAGTGATGTGATACAGTCCAGCCAGATAGCTCATCATCCCGTGTGTCACTTACAGCTGCCTGCAATCTGCCTTCCAACACACATACAGACACCAGTCTTTAAAGTTTTTCCTCTTTGAAGTAGGACTCTACTTCAAAAGCCATCTGGCAGTTTTCTGGAGTTCTTCTCTTTTTATCCTGTTTTTACATTTTAAAATCCTTTAAAAATATGACTCTAATGCCACTCTGGAAAAGCCCCTTTCTCCTTTAGGAAAAAAATCTGAATCCCTGTAGAATCTAGCACAAATAGGTCCTTAGGAGTAGTTTTTAGTATGTGTATGTATGTATAAATGCATGCGTGTAAGCATGTGAGTATTGTGTGTGGCATATATGCACATGGGTACACATGCACAAAGTGATGTTAGGGCTCCTGTTTATCATTTTTCTGCCTTATCCCTTTGAGAGAAAATCTGTCTGGATCTAGAGCTGGGCCGGCGCCTAGTAAACCTCAATAGTCCTGTTTCTGCCTTCTGCCCTGCTGGGGTCAAACATGTTCACATTGCCATGCCCTGCTTCTTTACACGGGCATTAAAATTTGAACTTAAGTCCTCATGTTTGTATAGCAAGTGCTCTTACCCATAGAGCCATCTCTCTAGTCCCCCGCCCCTCTGAACCAAAGTGTGGGCCTACCTATGTCTATATCTGTGAACTTGTGAAAGTTCAGGGTCCAACATTTACAGAATTTACTTACAAAGTCTCAGTCTATCCCTCCATTCCCAGAGGACTTTGGTCAGTGCCTAGCACATTGACCTGTTTCTTCAGAGAACCCCAAGTCTGCTCTTGCCAGGTCTGAGGTGTATCCCTTCCAGAGAAATGTTTGGTAGCTGTGGAACCCACAGGGTTCTGTGGCCCAGGGCCCATTCCCAGACGGACAGGGACACTTCTCACACAGCAGCACACCTGTGCAAAGTACTCCTCAGAGATCCTCCCAGCCCACTCAATGCACAGGTCCAAGGGTCGGCATGGGTTGGCCACGTCAGCACACTTGATCATCATGCGCTTGATCAGGATCTGGTTTTCAGGGAAGTTCTTTCCAGTAGGGTTGCATTCACAGTCGCTGCCCTCACTCTGGAAAACAGGATCAGTTCAGGGCTGGAGAGGCCTACAGAGACTAACTCACCAGGCACACAGCTGTGGCTGGGACTTGGCAAAGGGAACTGTTGATTCCTGTATCCATATGTAACACACTAGCATAGTCTTTAAAAACCATCAATATAGTATAGAATTTAAAAGGCAAAACAGTCCCTGCCATCACCCATTCACTCACTTATAACAGCTATTGGCAGTGTCTGTTTTGAGCGGTTTAGAAGATTGCCCTAAAAAGGGCTCTTTCCCTTTCCCCTGACTCCTCAGAAACATGTGAAAACACAACTTTCAGTTACTTTAATGCATAAAAGTAGGAAAATTGTGACTTTTCAATTACCTTTTTGTTTTTGTTTGTTTTCCTCATTGCCTTCCCACACCCACATCTTAAGGCATGTATACATTCACGTTTTCTTGGCTGGTTCTCCCGAGAGATAATTAGTGTGAGGTGTGAAACATGTACATTTGGGCCAGAATGCAAGAGAATGTGTGTTCAGCAGCCTCTGAAAACTTATACAGCAGTGCGTACCTGCTGGGGGAATGCCAGGGGCCCTGGGGCATGTAACCAGGTGTGTGAGTAGGTAGATATGTATCCATTCACAGGCTAGTTTTGGAGTGAAAAATATTCGCTCCAAAAGACACTATCTATTTGTATGAAACAGTTAATTAGCTCTCCAGAGCTCTTCCAAGCTGAAGACTGCATGGCATGTAGTGGGATTTTGTTTTGAAGCTGATCCTATTTATTGGACCCCTGATAGGGAGACTGTTCCGGGGAGCTGTTCTCCCAACATCTTGAGACAACATTGTTTACTGTGGATGACATGACCGGCAGTAAGTCTCAGCATGGAGTTGGACCCCTGGAGAGAGGTCCTTCCTAAGTCTAAATTCTATTATCCTGTGTAATTTTCTGCTCAAAACATCACAATGCTTGTTAACCCTCCATCCTTTGTTGGAAGACCTGGCATTGTGTGGTGGAGTCTGTGAGAGGTGGGTTCAATTCAGGTGAGGTGGGCACTGTTCCTCTCCCTAAGTCGGTCATATGACAGTTTCTGCAGACAGTGTCCTCATTGATCATCAAGTTGTCTTTAAAACACTTATTCTACCTTTTCTAGGCTATTTTCCATGAGACTGGAAATTGCTTTCACAGAGCTATGGACAACTTACATGGTTTCTGAGGACAGTTGATTTCATCTTAGTAAAGAGTGAGCATTACATGTGTGTTTCTAAAGCCCAGATTTGTAAGGCCCATAAAGCAAGTTCATGGTAAATTTCTCTCTTTTTAAAATTTTTGTTTAAGAAAAAAATATATACTATATTTTGATCATTTTCTTTACCTTCTCCAGGTCCTCTCTACCTCCCTACAGATTTTCCTTGTCTGTTTGTCTCTCTTGGTTTTCATTTTATTTTTATCTTTTGAAATAGGGAGGGGGAGGAGCGAGGGAAAACACTTCTGTACTAGTTAGCTTTAATTGTCAACTTGACATAGCCTAGGTTATTCCAAGGAAGGAATCTCAACTGAGGGACTGCCCAGTTCCCATTGGCTGATAGCCTATCTCTGGGAGAGACTGTTTTAATTGTTAATGATGGTGCTTACTGTGGGTGGCGCCATCTGCCAACAAATAGTTCTGATCTGTAAGACAATTGGCTAAGCATGAGCTGGTGAATGAGTCAGTAAGCTTCCTTCTTCCATGGAGTCTGCCATACTTCCTTGGCTGGGAGTGAGTTCCCTGGTCAGAATTAATACCGCACAAAGAGCAAGCATTTTTCCCTTTAGGTTCCTATCTTGAGTTCTTGCCTTTATTTCCCTGAATGAGAGCCTGAACTAGAAGCCAAATAAACCTTTTCTTTCCTAATGTGCTTTTCATCAGGATATTTTATCACAGCGACAGGAAGGAGCTAGTAAACTTGTTTCACTGAAGCCCTCATATATTAGTAAGGTTATAGTTCTATAAAGCAGTCTCTAACTTTGTGATACTAAGAGCTCAAAGAACAGGAAGAGTGTTGGGTATCCTGTCATAACACCATTGGTTCTATCCTTAGCTTATCTGTGGGCTCCTCTTGTTCCACACTCTGGGCCTAACTCCTTCTGTAACTCTGTCTCAGGGCCTTTCTTTCAAGGAGCATGCAATTGCAATAGACAGATGTCAATCTGTTCTCATCCCCAAGAAAAACTAGTAGCTGGACTTGCAGTCTTTTTCCAGCTCCAAGCTGATAATCACCTCACACTCAAAAAGGAGGAAATGCTTTGCTGCTGGAACAGGTACTCATGGAAACACACTGCTGTATCTTATTACATAGGAATGCTTACCTCAGCTGCCAGTGGCTTGTTGATGCTGTTCACAAATTTGTTCACATGTTCAAAGTGTTTTGTCATCTCTGTAGCCAAAACCATGTCAATAATAGCCTGGCGTAGCGTTCGGTAATGGTTCCTAAATAAGGAGACAAAGTCCCTTGTTCATATCATGTCCTAAATCAGAACTTCCCTGCTGCTGTGACTCCCACAAACTGGGACATAGCGGGGGCAGAGTCGAATGACTACTGATCCCAGGGTGTGTCTGTTCATATTCCCAATAAGCCCAAGTTGTTGTTGATGGGGTTCCATGTTCTCCAGTGACAGCCAACTCTTCTTCTCATGAATGTTAAGAGAAAAGAATATCATGTCATGTGGTGGACAGTTGTTTCCAAAGGTAGTTCCCACCCCTTCCTTCAAAAACACTAGGACAAAAAAGTAGAAGGGAGAGACAGACCAAAGTGGCAGCCTGATCTGTGTACCATGCAGATCAGTTCTTACTGCAGAGAACTGCCACATTTTCTTCGGATGGTATTGAGGAAGTCTCCTTTTATGTAAATCTCTAGCTTGCAATTGTTGGATGTTGTAGTGGTTGGAGCAACAGCACAAGATTATCAGAGAATTCCTGTCGTTCACTAAGAGGCAGAATGAGGAGCTAAGCAAACTGGTCCTTCATACTGATAAACTTAAGTCCAAATTAAACAGCCATTCTCCATAACTGGGTAGGTTTTTTTTTTTTTCCAGAGCCTAAACTGCTAAGTTCATATAGACAATGTTATGAGGCCCAGGTGACTGCCTGGCTTTTGTCAGGACTCTGCCCAGGAGCTGATGTGTGCAGGAAGTTGCCACAATGCTGCTGGCAGGCAAGAGTTCTACCTCATCTCACTGAGAGTGTCTCTGTGAGAAGACCACACAGTGAAAGGAAGCCTGCCCAGCTGCGCCCCAGCATCTTCACTGGGACCTTGTCATGAGGAAGGGTTCTTAGTGGCCCAAACTCAGCAGGAAATGCATGGTCTTTGGGACACATAATAGAAGGGATGCCCTTTTGGGAAGGAAGACTACCCGGCAGACTTGTCAGCACTCATCAACATTCAGATGGTGCTTTATAGGGCAAAACAAAACAAAACAAAACCCATTTATTTTCATGGACTCACCAGAGACTAAAAAATGAGATTTTAAAACATGAAAGGCAGCCTGCAAAGTACAATTAAGTTTAGACAGGCAAAGCTATCTTATAATCCTGTGCAGTGGACAACTGTTATTTCCATTTCCATCTTCGAGGAAGCTGAGCATTTGAGAAAACTTAGTTTCTCCTTTAGCTTCCCAAACCTAAGCACGAAAGTCAATGATAACACACCTGTCAATGTTCTTGAAGATGTTGCACTTGGTGTCCTTGACAGTAAGCTGGAAGGCCAGGGCCGTGTGGTGACTCTCCAAGACTGCAGTGTCATTGTAGAGCACAGCCAGCTCACTGCCCGCGTTGCACAGGAAGGAGTTGGTTCTTCCAGGGTGATCCACATCATGGACTGTTGCAGCAATCAGAGCAGCTACCTCGTCCAGCTGATCGAGGCTTCCCTAGGATAAGGGGAGGAACTCTGAGCATTACCCACGGAGACCAACACCTGTCTCTATCTCTTGGAAAGAGAAGGGCTTGGGGCTAGAACTTAGACAATGTTCTTTCAGTTTCCTCCTAGTCTTAGCTGAAAGGTGGCCTTGGGCACATGGACCCACCTTCCTGTGCCCTGTGTTTTCTTGTGAACATGGAAGCCAGAGCTGCAGTGCACCACCTGAACTCTTTGTCTAGAAATGATTCACTGGCTTTGTGAGAAAGAAGCCAAGCAGGCCTTCTGGACTGCTGCTGATACTGCCCTGTGGGGGTAGAACGTGGCCAGCATCACAAACACCCTCATCACTTCTGCATGCATTTTTGAAAGCTTGTTGTAAGCAGCATAGATAATTCACATGGTGGATGGGGCAGTGGTCAGAGCTCAGTAGTGAGGCAGGATCTAAGTGGGGCTTGGCTAGCAGGTTATTCGAATAAGGAACATAAATGACAGCAAGTGTTTTTCTTAGCAGTCGAATGGGGTGTTACATAAGACACAGTATTGTGAATGCATTCAGTATAAGATGCCTAAAGGTGCCAGGTATCAAGCTGAAGCAGTGATGCTAGTGAGTGAGATATGAAAGGGAGCCCAAACATTCTGACAATAAAACCACAGGGCTGGACAGCTCAGGGCAGCACTAACCATTGGACACTGCATGCTGAAAGGAGTGTGCCCTGCATCCCTGGTGTGCATATAAAGCCTAGTCACCCAGAGCCCTGAACGATCAACTTAGGGCTAGTATGATGGAGGGGCTGCTTAGCTTTACTTAATAGCCATGTATAGCTAATGACTACCAAACTAGCCAACTGGCCAACAGCGGTCTACAGAATGGCCAATGATGGCTTTCCTAAGAAAGTGATTTTTATTGCTGATCAGGCAACAAGTGGCAAGGGAGAGAAGTCTAGATGAAAAGAGTCCAGATGAAATTACTGAGACAGACAAGTGAGCCAAGTTTGGTGAACAGAGGGAAGAAGGCCCCAGAGAAGTCTGGAAGACTGGATAGGGCTGTTGGTGTTCCCAACTTGTTCTCATAGTTTTGTGGGAGGGAAAACTGGGTAAGGAAGACTGAACCTGGAGGCCAGCTCTGTCCTGCTGATGCCCTCACAGGCTACCTCACACACCTGATTTGGGGTGAGAGTGGGACTTCCTCGAATATTCTCTCTCCAGGAAGGAAGTCACTCCACCCTGATTTTTAACCTCATAGAGCAGGTAGGAACCCTGGGTTGGCCCAGCTGGAATACCAGGTGTCCCAAGTGAGCAGCCTGGATGTTCCCTGGGTGTTTTTCATGAGATGAAGTCTAGAGTGGGCAGGGAATGGAAGCATGTTAGGTTCTGCTTCGGTGCTTTCAGAAGAGGCCATCATAGCCTGCAGGTGTGTGTAGTCTGCTGCCTCCAAGCTTAGAACCTGGAACTTCCCAAACTTGTCCCCTACAGTAAATGATTTCATCTGAGCCGTGAGGATGCAGGGGGCCCTTGCTATGGGTCTCAGGTGTTTTGGCTATGGTAGATCCAGTTCTGATGGAAGCTCCAGGCCAACCCCCCCTTTTTTTAAAGAATAGTCAATGGGAGAGAGATTAAGTGACTACAAAATATAAATTGTACTGTCCAGACCTGCCTCTCCTTCAGCCTTACACTGATTTAACCTCAACAATGGGATTGGAATGTCTACTGAGCTATCAACAATGTGCTTTGTCCTACAGTTTTGTGAGCACTAACCAGGCACTGTCTGATAAGAAATGACTGACTGGGAGGTGAAGCAAGAGAATAAGGCAATCTCACAAGCAAGAACAGAAGAGAAACAAGCAGGACTCTGTGTGTGTGTGTGTGTGTGTGTGAGACACACACACACACACACACACACACACAGAGAGAGAGAGAGAGAGAGAGAGAGAGAGAGAACCTGCAGCTAGTACAACCCCAAGTCTAAGCCTTCAGACAGAACAAGGATGTACCTATATTGTTCTTTTCTTTACTAGGAGAAATTGATCTGGCTCTAGTCTAGGTCAGCCTTTCCAACTCTTCCTTACTTAGATAGTCACTTTGGCCCAGATAATAAACAGAGTGCTAGCTGTCTAGGTCTATCTGCTTGCAGTAGGTTTCAGGAACCAGGTGAGAGCAGAGAATGTAGTTTGCAACCCCTGAAGGGGTCTGGCCACACTGGCACACTGTCTCTGGTTAGGTTGATGCTTTGTAATGGTAACATTTAAGAATTTTAACACTTATGTTAATGTTTAACAAAAGAGACAAGGAAAGACACTAGCATAATTCTAAATATTTATATACCAAACACAAGGGCATCCAATTTCATCAAAGAAACACTATTACATCTACCAACCCTAACACAGTGATAGTGGATGACTTTGGTACCCCTGTTCTCACCAATAGGTCATCCAGACAAAACCAAATAGAGGAACCCTGGAGTTAAATAATATAATAAATTAATGGACCTAACAGACATCTATAGAACTCTCAACCCAGATACTGAATGATATACTTTTTGCTAGCAGCCCATTGGAATTTTCTCCAATATCAACTACATATTAGAACACAAAGCAAGTCTTAACAGAAAGAGGAAAATTGCAATAACTTCAAGCATCCCACTTGATCACCATGGAATAAAGTTGGACATCAACAACAGAAACAGCAGAAACTACACAGATTCATGGAAACTAAACAACATGATACTGAGGAAAATTGGATCAAGGCTGAAATTGAAAAAAAAATAAACTTTTTAGAATAGAATGGAAATGAAAAACACATACCCAAATATATGGGCACACTGAAGGCAGTTCTAAGAGGAAAGCTCACTGCTATGCTTAAAAAAGAACTGGCAAGAACTCATAGTAATAACTTAATGATATATTTGAAAGCTTTAGGAAAACAAAAAACCAACTCCCAGAAAAAAATAGATGAGAAGAAACAATCAAACCCAGGGTTTAAATCAATGAAATATAAACAAATAACAATAATCACACAATTAGTGAAACAAAGAGTTTGTTCTTTGAAAAAAATCAAGATTGATATAATGCATTAGTTAAATTAACAAAAATCAAATTTAATAAAATTGGAGCTGAAAAGAAAGACATTAAAACAGCTACTGAAGAAATTCGAAGACCCAAGGACATAGTTTCAAAATCTGTATTCTGTCAAACCAGAAAACCTAAAAGAAATGGATGATTTTCTTAATATGTATAATAATCTAACAAGCTAAATCAAGATGAGGTAAATAATTTTAAAAGATATATAACCCCTAGTGAGATAGAAGCAGTAATGAAAACTCTTAACTGAAAGTTAAGAGCCAAATGGATTCAGTGACGAGTTCTACCAGACCTTCAATGAAGCACACCACCCTCCTCAAATTATTCTGCAAAACAGAAACTGAAGGAACATTCCCCAATTCTTTTTATGAAGCCCCCATTGCTCTGAATGCCTAAACCACACAAAGACTCAACAAAAAAGAAAATTATAGACCAATAGCCCTTATGAACATAGATGCAACAAAAAACTCAATAAAATAATTGCAAACCAAATCCAAGAACTCACTAAAAAGATTATCCACCACAATCAAGTTAGCTTCATCCCAGAGAAGCAGGGATAGCTCAACATATCTCCGTGCATAAACATAATCCACTACATAAATAGATGAAAGGACAGAAACCACATGATCACTTATTAGATTCAGAAAAGGCTTTTGACAGAATGGAACATTTTTTTTCATGATAAAAGTCCTGGTGAGATTCAGGATATGAGGGACATAGCTCAGCAAATAAAGACAATTTATGACAAGCCAACATCATTATAAATGGATAGAAACTCACAGCATTTCCAAGAAAATGCAAGATATGAATGTCCTTTCTGTACCTGTTTAATATAATGCTTGAAGCCTTAGCTAGAGAGCAGTAAGAAACTGAAGGAGATCAAGGGACCAAAGGAAGGTGCTAGAGTATCCTTATTAGCAGGTGATATGGTTGTAATATATAAAAGATCCCAAGAACGGTCAAGTAACTTCTAAAGATTGATAAAAATGTTGGTCAAAGTAGCTGGATACAAAATACAAAAAAAATCAGTAGCTTTCCTGTATACAAATGACAAACAGGCTGAGAAAGCAGCATGGGAAACAATACCTTTCAGAAGAAATGTTATGAGATAGCTCTAGCCAAGTGCATGAAAGACTTGTACACTGTAGGAAATTGAAGACACCAAAAGATGGGAAGATCCTCCATGTCATGGATTGGTAGAACTAATGTGGTGGAAAATGGACATCCCACCAAAAGCAATTTACAGAATCAATGCAATCCTTATCAAAATCCCAACACAATTCTTCATGGAAATGAAAATATAATCAAACCAATCCTGAACAATAAAAGAACTGCTGGCAATCTCACCATTCCTGATTTGAAGCTGTATTATAGAGCTATAATAATAAAAACAGTGTGGTATTGGCATAAAATCAGACATGTTGATTAGCGGAATCAAATAGACACAGTCATAAGTTCACTTATCTGTGGACACCTAATTTTTGACAGAGAAGTCAAAAACACACACTTGAGAAAGACACCGTCTTCAACAAATGATGCTGGTCAAACTGGATCACTACATACAGAAGAATGCAATTCGATCTGCATCTCACACTCTGCATAGAACTCAACTCCAAATGGACGAAGGACCTCAAAACAAGCCCTGATACCCTGAGTCTGATAGAAGAGACAATGGGAAATAGGCTTGCTCACTGGCACAGTAAAGGACTTTCTGAAGAGGAGCCTGATAGCATAGGCATTGAGACCAATAATAAATAGGACTCACGAAGCTGAAAGCTTCTGTATAGCAAAGGACACCATCATTTGAAGAGGCAATATACAGAATGGGGAAAAACTGTAATAATTATACATCTGAAAGAGAGTTAGTATCTAAAATGTAAAAAGAACTAAACAAACAACCCATTTAAAAAATGTAGCATGGAACTTAATCAGGATTTCTATTACTGTGATAAAATACTCCAAGAGAAACTTGGGGGAGGAAAAGCTTTACTTTTCAACTCTCAGGTCACACTCCACCGCAAGGGGAGTTGGGGCAGGAACTGAAGCAGAGGACTCCATGACTTGCTCAACCTGTTTTCTTATATAACCTAAAACCACAGGGCAGTACTGCCCCATGGGATAGGCCCATCTCTATCAATCATTAAGAACATGCACTACACACTCCATACAGGCCATCTGATAAAGGCATGCTTGCAATTAAGATTCCCTCTTCCCAAAGCTATCCAGGTTTGTGTCAAGTTGACAAAACACCAACCAGGACAGAGCTAAACAAGTTTCTCAAAACATGAATCACAAATGGCTCAGAAACACACGTTCAACATCCTCAGCTGTTAGGGAAGTGCAAATTAAAACTTCTTTGATATTTCATCTTACCACAGTCAGAATGGCCAGGATCAAAACAAATGGCAGCTTATGCTGGTGAGGATGTGGGAAAAGGGGAACACTTAAGGGGAACACTTATTTATTGCTGGTAGAAGTGCAAACTTGTACAGCCACTATGGAAATCAGTGTGGAGGTTCCTCAAAAAGCTGAAAATAGATCTACCAAAAGATCCAACTATATCACTCTTGGGAATAAACCCAAAAGATTCTACTTCTAACTACAGAGAGATTTGCTCATCCATGTTCATCATTGCTCTATTCATAATAGCTAGAAATTGGAAACAGCCTAAATGTCCACCAGCTGACAGATGGATAATAAAAATGTGGTACATTTATATAATAGAATATTATTCAGCTGCTAAGAAAAAATGAAATTTGCAGGCACATAGATGAAACTGAAACAATCATCATGAATAAGGTAACTCATACCCAGAATGACAATCACTGCATATTTCCTCTTATATGTGGAAGCTAGCTTCTATGCTTTTAGATATGTGTGCTTTATTTAGGGGTTAGAAATGTAACCATCAATCTCTCCCAACTAGAAATGCAGTGAACTACAATAATGACCCTTTTGGCAAGATATGCCCATGGGTGCAATAGTGGTAGCATGCTATGGGAATAACCAAACACTTTTTATTGGATTTAAGGCCCAGTACATAAGATGGAATGCATACCTGACATTGTTAATGAGGCCAAGAACCTGAGACTAGGTAGTTCATAGGCCCCGAAGGGAAGCCCACTACTATTATTCTGTTAAAGGAACATAGTAAAAAAAAAAAATGACTCCTGGTAACATATCACTATACCCTCAGATCACTCAACCTTCAAAAGAGAAGCTGCTGCTTTGCAGTAGATGGTAATTAGCAGAGACCACAACTGGACAATGTACTGAGAGGAGAGCCTTTGCAGCACTCAGCCCTACATGTTTGTATCACACCCCTCCCCTCAAGGCTCTGTGCTGAAGAGGAGGCAGAAAGATCTTCAGAGTCAGAGGTGGTGGATAACTTAAGCAAACAGTGTTTTCCAGACATGGGGCAGGTGCACATATGAACTCACAGAGATTGGTATGGTTTGTGCAAGATCCGCACAGACTCAACCCAGCAAAACCCCAGCATAGAGAAGGGGAAAGTGCACACAAAGTCTCTACTTTTCCCAAGAAGCTATCTGCAATTGACAGCTTCTGGGAAAGAGAAATTCCGATTTCTCCAATGGATTGGCAGTGAGTGTGTCAGCCACATCCCAGGGCAAGCCAGGGCTCCATGCTCAGAGCCAGGTGATCAGCACAAATTGGACTTCATATTTTGTTGTTTGTTTTAAGAGAGAAAGAAGGTGAAGTTGGGTGGATAGGGAGATGGGAGAAGGTGGAAGATGGGGAAAGAATATGATCAAACTATATTGTTTGAAAATTTCAGAGAATAAGTTTTTAAAACATTAAACTTAGCTTTGTCATTGGAAGTGGAACTGAGTGGTAGGACATGCCCTTAGCATGTAGGAGGCATCAATTCCCAGAAATCATAGCTTATATTTGAGTTTTATCACCCCTAAGAAATGAGAGACTGATGACTCAAAGATGAGGTAAGAATATACAGTGCCTGCCTCACGTGCACCTTGGCAGACTGGCCAGTGAATGTGGGCTGAACTTGGCTGCCAACAACCTGGGTCTCCAAGGCTTCTTCCTGAGCTGCACTTTCTGAATTTCTGCCAGCTGCTGGAGTCAGAAGACATCTTCTGAATTATAACTAGTCAGAACCTTGGTTTTATGGTTGTTTGAGAGTTTCTGGGACTCTGAGGAAAATACTAAATTTGGAGGAAGAGTAGACAGGGAGATGATGGTGCTGTGACCTTTAATCCTGGTTTTCCTAGAGAAGGTCTGTTAAGTGTCCCCTTCACCTCAACTCCAAACTGCAGCCACAGGATCAGTCCAGCCTTGGTGCTAATGACCCAGGCACTCTGCTCAGCGAGTGCTGGGACCTCAGCTGTGTCACATCTGTCTCACATGTGTTAGAACCTACAGCAGGGGGTCAGAGGGTTGTGGCTCCAAGAGGTGTTTATTACAGACACAGGCTTATACTGCAATCATTTTTCTTTATCCTTCCTTCCTTTTTCTCTTTCTTCCTTTTTCCTTTCCCCTCCCTCCTTCTCTCTCTTCCTTTCTCTCTCTCTCTCTCTCTCTCTCTCTCTCTCTCCCTTACACACACACACAAATGCATTATTCTTGGAACTGCCAGGATGAGGGTTTTTTTTTTTTTTTTAATCTGAGAAGGACTCTCTACCCATTTCTTTTCCTTCTACCTTATTCCCTTACTATCCCTGTTCCAAAAGAATAATCCAGTGGCACTATTCATAGATCGATATTGGTGCAGTCTCAAGAGAATGTCTTCTAAGAACATCTTTATAGGGGTCAGCAGTGCTGGGAATCAAATCCAGAGCTTTGCGCGTGTTAGACACATGCTATGTCTCTGAGCAACACTCCCAGTGCTAAATTTTAAGCTCTGGTTTGAACCACTAATCAGAATGTTACTGTGCAAGCGATGGTAGTTGAGGAGGAGGGTGATTGATCCTCCCAGGTTCCCACTGGATATGCGTAGAGTCACCCTAAAACCAGTACCTGTCACAACAGTACTGATCTCTGAATAAGACTAAGTGATGTGAGATTTTCAATTAGGCAAAAGTCACAGATATGTCCACCCACACCTACCCAGAATGCTCATCAGCCAGGGAAAAGCTGTGTGATTCCTATTAGGAATGTAGCATAATGGTCAAATTCTGACACTAAAACTTAACCCTAAGTGCTAGCAACAGTGTACTTTAAGATAAGTCTGTCCTGCAACCCCATTTCCCAGAGCTGGTAAATAGTTAAGTATGGGTCATGACTCAGCCACAGAAGGTCAGTAGCACAGTTAATATTTTAGATTAATAAGCATTTTAGAGTTGAGAGCTAGGAGAAAGTCTGTGTCTAAAACAGTTTTACAACACCCATCTCCACTGCCCCCCCCCAAAAAAAACCCCAAACTCTCTTGTCAGATTGGTTACAATATTGTTATTTGTCTAATATATTTACTAAGATTGAGTCCTTGGATGCCCATCCTAGCAGATAGCTAGACTGTGGTTTCTGGAGTCTACCTTCACTCTTTCCTTTCCAAGGAAGAAAGCTGTGGCGTGTAGGACATCAGCAGCGTGGGTGGAATTGTGGTAGGCATTGGAGGAGTGGTAGTTGGCTTCAATCACTTGCAGCCAGGCCCGAAGAGTGGTTTCAGTGCAGTTTAAAAATTCACATACTCCAAACCGAGAGAAGACCTTTAAGCCCAGGTACACCAATGGCCTGAGAACAGGAAACAAACGCTGGTTCATTGGGTTCAGTGGCCCAGAAAGTGCTTCCTTTAATGGCATTAGAGAACAGAGGAATTTGTGTGTGATCGCTCAACATGCTTGGGGCACAAAAACATTGGCATTGCTTCCTCATGTGAGTCAGTTCCAGATTGGTTTTAGATTATCTGTTAAGTCACAAAACCTCTGTTGGCCCCTTTCCACCTCTACGTCCACACAAGTCCTGCATATGCTTTAGGTCTTTAAAAAGAGCCTGAGGGCAAAGGAATGGTTTGAACAGTTTCAGCAGAATCACCTCACTTAGAATTATGTTACTGTATAGATGAGTGAGTAGTTCATATTCCATAGACCAACATCCCAGGAAGAAATGTCTTCGCCTAAGACAAAAGAAGCTCCTCACCCCGCTGACAGGGTGGGCTCAAAGGAAGTCTATGCTGCTATCAAGTCCCTTGTGTTGGGGTGGGTGGAAGGATAGGAGGGAAGAGAGGGAGAGAATATTAATTGGGAATTTTTGTTGCCCAGGCTAGTCTTGAATCTCTGAGCTTGAATAATCCCCTTGCTTCAGTCTCCCAAACTGTTTATGTGTATGACTGATTCTGACTTCCAATCCATTTTTTAAAGATTTATTTATTATGTATACAGTGTTCTGTCTGCATGTATCCCTACAAGCCAGAAGAGGGCACCAGATCTCATTACAGATGGTTGTGAGCCACCATGTGGTTGCTGGGAATTGAACTCAGGACCTCTGGAAGAGCAGCCTGTGTTCTTAACTGCTGAGCCATCTCTCCAGCCCTTCCAATCCATTTTTATGGGGCAGAAGGTATGAGAAAACTTTGAACTCCCAGCTCATGGGCACAAAGGAAGTAGATCTTGTGCCTCACCCACAGATACTGATTTTAGTATCTCACAGATAAATCCTCTCCATACAAGAGCATATTTGGGACACAAAATTCCATCAAAGTTTCTAGATATGAAGACCTTTCGTGTGGCTGTCACTCCCTCCCAGCCTTGAACCAGAGATACCACATACCTTTTATGTGTAACTGCTTCCAATTCAAAGATGTTGAAGTCCCAGCTTTCCTCATTATCCAGTAACTGGGCGATACTTGTGGGGACATCATTGATGGTTATGGGCATGGCAAGGTGACTATGACTCTGGTGCACATCTGAGCAGACACAGGGGTGGAGGCGGCAATTTAGGTGTGGATTCTTCAGTGTCCTAAGCATCTTACCATCGTTAGGGTTGTCACTAGAAACAAAATCTTCAACCCCTATTGAGAGGGTGATTTCAGTACCAGGGCTCTTCTCATATTATTAAATCCCAAGGCATAAACGGGAAAATAACTCTAAGGCCCATTTCAATGTATGGGGAATGGCATCCTTTATCTAGCAATGTTCCAATAAATCTTTTTAGCCAGGAGACCTCACTTCAAATGTAGATCACAGAGAGGAATAAACTCACAAGACCCAGTGCAAGCCACACCATGGGGGTGGCATAGGCTGAAGCTAGGTTATCAGTAACAAGGTGACACATGAACACTTACTCTTTGTGAACACATACTCATTCCCCGACAGTCTTCTCAAGCCATCCTGGGAAGAAAGAGATGCTGTTAGATGCAGCCTTCATGCCCATCATCATTCTCTTAAGCTTGTTTGTTCCTTAGCCAGAGGCTGAATCCTGGCTAGCCCAAGCTGCAGTCCAGGTCAAGGCAGAGCTCAAAATGCAATGGCAGCAGTGGTTAAGAGACTGGGGACACTCCGCCTTCCATAGTACTAGTCCCGGTGGGTGAGGGCTGGGGAGAAGGACTAAGTCATGAGCTCCATCAGGGTTCATACTTGAGCTGTGAGTTGGCTCAGTTCTCATGGCCGCTTTCTCTCCTGGCATTGTAAAGCCTCGTATACGGAGTCACTAAAGTGATCTTGTTTTTGGATATGTGTGATTTTGACCTGTCCAAATTTCCCTATCTGTATGGAGACATTTTATGTTCTCAGGTGTGCATTATGAAAAGACTAAGAGCCATATTTGAAGGGAAGCCTTGTAAAGTCTTTTTAAACACCGGGCCTTTTTTTCTGACTACATTTTCTGCTGCAGAGCATGGTCTTTGCTGCTAAGCTTTGAGAGATGTGTTTCTGGACCTGAGCTTTTGAAGATTGTGATGGGTGATCTTGACCATCAACTTGAGTGGACCGAGAGCTACATGAGCTATTTAGTATTATACAGCTGTGCAAGTGGCTTTGGGGACTTCCTAGAGCTAAGTAGATCTGATCTGCTGGGTGGTTCAGTCCACTGACAGACTCAAAATTTGAATGTCACCTATAGAAACTGATGTGAGGTAGCAGAATTGTGCAAAGCGGGGCTGGCCGTCGGGAAGAGGAAGTAGGACACTGGGTCCTCAGGGACCTTCTCTTGCCCTGGCCCCTGCCTGACACTGTTCACTCTGCTTCCTGCACACCATGATGGACCAACACTTGTGAAACTATAGGCAGAAATCCTTCCTTTTAAGCTGCTTTTGTCCTGGTCATGACAGCGACATGACCATGAGAATAAAAGTGGGCAGGATTTTGGGGTCTGCCATTTGCTGGTTCTTGAGCTTGAACCAGTCCCTGGATGTGCTTGAATCTTTCCTTGCCTCTGCTCCTGTGCCCGAATCCCTCACTATTTAGATCCCTGTGTAAAAGTCCCTTAGAAATGCTTGTTACCCCTAGAAAATAACCTTAAAGTACTATTAATTAATGAAGGACTCCCTTGAAGTCACACTTTGGATCTTTCTGCAATGAATAATCTTCAGAAACAGATGAGCAGATAAAAAAACTTCAGGCACAACTATTAACGCCTCTGCAGCAAATGTGCATTTCTTGTTTTTCTCTACTTCCCAAAACCTTATCCAAATGAGGTGGAGTCCCACACTGGCTCCTCCCAGCATTATCCAGACAAAAAGCACAAGATGATTGTTCCCTGAAGGGACTGCCTCTTATCACCACTCTTTAGAAACTGAAGCTAATGCTGCATTGGAACAGGCCAGCCAGTGCCAGCCTGGGGACCAGGAAAAACAGAAGACTGGTCAGAGTACAGGTGAGAACAGGTTGGGCAGCCAGTCAACACAACTTCTGGAGGCTGGCTAGAAAAAAAGAAATGTGTAGAGACAGGCATAACTCAGGATCATGTTTCTTTCCTAGAGCATTCTCCTAGCTCGGCTTCTGAGGAAGGAGCATGATGAAAAGTTGGGCTTTTCTTCTTCAATTGCTGACAGGTGATGTTCAAAGCCAAGAGCATAATAGGGTAAGGTGGAACTTAGACACTGGCATCTGGGTCCACAACATAGTATGTCTTAGATCACTGGCAGGCACAGTCCTCCCATTTCCCTGCTTTGAGCCTCAGCACCATTCTGCTTTTGTGTGATTAGAAATGGAACTTGAGACAGGCAGTGGTGGAGCACACCTTTAATCACAGCACTCGGGAGGCAGAGGCAGAAGAATCTCTGTGAGTTCAAGGCCAACCTGATCTATAGAACCATTCCAGGACAGCCAGGACTGTTACACAGAGAAACCCTGTCTCAAAAAAACAAACAAAACAAACAAACAAATGAAAACAATAAAAAAATCACAAAAACAAAAACAACAACAACAACAACAACAACAACAAAAAAAAAAAAGGAACTTGGCTGTGAAGTTCTCCAAAGACAGGACTCCATCACTGGAAACACTATCATCTAGATACAAACCCTTTCATTAAATAGTCTTTCCTTGGAGTCCTCACAGGGGTTTATCTACAGAACCATCCCTGTCTTGGTAAACCCAAGGGAGTGTAAGTTTCTTCTGTAAGATAGAACTATAACTGCACATAATAAATGTACATCATTCTGTGTAAAATCTTGGGATTGTTTATAGTGTCCAACAGTACAAATGCATGTTCATGTTCCATACAAATGTACCCTTCCTTCCCTCCCTCAGTCTTATTGTGCATTTCAGGGTACAGGGATAACAGGGGTGTGTGTGTGTGTGTGATGCCTTGTGCAAGTCTCTCACATTTGTATTCTCTACCACCCTCTCCAGTTTGCTTGGTTGAATTCACAAGATACAGAACCCATAGATTGTGAGGGGCTAACTCTATAGATACAGCCTGATGCCCAAGGAAATGTAGCCACAACCTTTAAACCCAGCCTTCTAATTCAGACAGGGATCAAGAAACAGGAGCCATACAGTCCTCTGTATATTTGGCCCTTGGTCACCTGCCACTTTCCTACTCCAATGTGACTTCTCAAGGTTCTTTCTGTGGCTGAGGTTAGTTGGCAGTGGAAAGATAAGCATCTTGGATGTGACCATTAAGACATTAACAAGCTACCTCAAGTGATAGGTGCTTCTGGCACCTGAGGCCACAGTGCACCCTGAAGACTCTGGGAGGTATTTGGCCAACACTCTTCATTTCTGGGGGTTCCTTATCACTTACAGTCATCAGGCCTCCAACAAGATCACTGGTGTGAGGATCTTCATCTTTGGTTCCCAGCTGAGGGGAGTACAGTTCTGTGGTCCGTAAAATTTCTAGAACTCTGTCCAAGGCTTCTGCTACTGTAACTGGGCTGTTCTCTTGAGCTGCATTGATTATATTTATAACCTAAGAAAGCAAAAGGGAAAGAGTAAAGTTGAGGGTATTAAGATACTACTTCTCCGAAGTCAGACATAGTCAGAAGAATCAGTGACCACACGTCTAGCTCAGAGGATGGGCCCTCTCCATCACCCCCTTCTGAAGCATACATGTCCTACAGTCCACACTGCCTCATGGCATCCCACCCCAGGACCCTGCTTCCTAGGATCCCTTGCTTACAACCTTCCCTAGCTCTCCTCCATGGGTTGGGGTTCCATAGACATAGATTTGGGTCTCTCACTGTATGGCCATTCAAGAAATGACCTTTCATTTCCATGATGCTACACACATACAATCCATAAGGAGACTTCCAGGGTTACCTTCTAGACCCAACTTGAAGAACTTCAAAAGCCTTTCTGACTCACCTACTATGGTATCTTCTATGCCTAAAACCAAAGTCCAGCCTCATGCCCTTCTCACTAGTGAATTAATGGTGACATCATAAGAGACCAGCTGTTCTCCTGGGCTGAAGACAACTACTCTTCAACCCAAGGCTGCTCTGCCACGCATCTCTCTTTGCTCAACCCATCCTTGCAACTCACCAAGTCCAAATGATTCTCCCCCTAGACATTTTCTGACCTATTTCTTTCTCCCTACCTCTACCACCTCAATGCTAGCCAAACTGCCATTACCATCTCCTGCCTGGAATTCCAGAAAAGGCCTAAATGACCTCTTCTCTAGTACTGTTACCCCCGGCCCTACCCATTCTTAGCATGGTGGCTGAACTCTTTACAGGGACTTGTGGACCTGAACATGCCATGTTTATCTCAACTTCTTCAAAGATTATTTACCATACATAAGATATAAACCATCTATTTTTGTCCAAGTGACCAGAATGAACAGAACCACCATAGCCATCTCACCTCTGCTGGCCAACCCCAGCCTCCCCAGGTTCTACTCAGTTCTATGGAACGTCTCTGTGCAACTCCAGTGATGCACTATCTCTACACTGATCCTTGGCGCTCCTGACCCAGAAGTCTAGTGTGATTCTCAGGCTTAAGTTTTGTTTCAAACGTGACTTCCCCCAGCCTACCTCTAGACCTACTCTGACATCTCTCACACAGCACTTCACAGCGCTGATTGTATTGTGTAACCATGTTTGTTTATTATGTGTTTGTTTAATATCTGTTTTTCACACTAGATCATTAACTCTGCTATCAGTAGAATATGGAGCTAGAGCACAGCCCAGGTCTGAATACTGACTGAGCATTGGAGGTGCAGTTATCACTTACCTTTGTGATGGGGGCCTCTATGGTCATGGAGTGGATCCTTGCCATGGAGGGGTAGCGGCGATTCTGTAGGCTTGGAGCTGGAGAGAAGGCAGGGCAGTTTTATCTGGAGCTAGTGGTTCAGTTTAGGCTAAATACAGCTGATAAGTCCCCTTATAGATGAGGCATTGCTTTTCTAGAACCTCCTTGCCCACAAGTCAGTGTGTTGGACCATCCAATGTCCCTAGAGAGCTGACCACTCAGCCCCACAAGTGCGGAAGGTCCTCTGCCTGAAAGTCTGGTGGCAGAGGGCTTGGCAAGCCCCACTCTGCAGGGGAATTCTGAGAAGTCTATAGATACTGATGCCTCATCTCTGTAGCCCAATGGTGTCACAGAACTCCCTTTCTCATAGGTCACTGAAGCCTCCTTCAGATAGTCCTGCCCCTTCCTTCCATAGCTACAGGGCACATGAGTGTGTACCTGCCCCATGTCAGGATAGGAGAATAAGTATCTCAGTATGAACTGGCAAACTGGGCCAGCCATGCTCCTTCCTCAGCTATCAGTTTCATGACACTCAGAACCTAATGGTTCTGACTCTAACTGGGACAGACTCATTTTAAAATGAGTGTGGTTTAAGATTCAAATGGTAGAAGCCTTCCTTTAAAGGTCTGTCTTCATCAACTCATTTACCTTCCCTGTGGGGCACCCTAGAGGTCAGAAACCTGCTCCAGAGATTCGAGAACTTGACCAAATCACCCTCTGTTGGACTCTAGAACCCTGAGTTCAGCCACTGTCAGCCTCTGCTGTATTTCCCAATTCCCACCTTGCCTGTGTGGGACCACAGAGCTGCTCTTGGGTCCAGCCTGGTTCAGATGCTCCCAGCCTGTCTTGTGATTCTTGCTCTCGGTCACTTGCATGCCACGTGCCAGTCTATCCTGCTCTGCAGATTCTCTATTTCATCTCTAGAGTCTTCAGTCTTTTCTCTGGTACTCAGTCCTTCTATTGTGACCCAGGACTGGGAAGTCTGTTACTTCTTTCCCTTGACCTTTCCATTTATTATTTTAAACCATGCCCCCATCACAGGCACTAACTATTCCTTCTCAGGCCCTAGAACTGCCTTTACAGTTGCCAAGTTAAAAAAAAAAAAAGAAAGAAAGAAAAAGAAAAAACAAAGCTAATGTGGACTAGAATGTGGTTCCGTGGCACAGAGCTTGCCTAACATGTGTGAGATCCTAGGTTCCATCCTCAGAATCACAGGAAAACCAGAAACAGAAACACACACACACACACACACACACACAGAGAGAGAGAGAGAGAGAGAGAGAGAGAGAGAGAGAGAGAGAGAGAGAAAGAGAGAGAGAGAGCCTGCTCTCTACTCTAGCTCAAACCCTGCAGCTCCCTCCCATTCCACTCTTTCCTTCTTGGTTCATGGGAGGCCACTCCAGCTTTCTTTCTCCTTCCACATTTCTGTTTCTCACAGGAGTACACCTGCAGATTTGGACTCAGACCCTCTGGTCTTTATCCTTGCACAAGCACTCACATGGGCACAGCCCTTGGCAAAGCTTCTCTTCAGCCACAGAAGCCAAAGTTCCACAAACCCCAGCCTCAGCCCCTGCCCCAAACTCAGCCTTAGCCCATCCCTGTCTCGCCCTGACCCAGCTCCTGTCTCAACTCGGCCTCAGCCCCATCCTCTGCCGTAGCCCCAGCCCCTACCCCTGCCTCAGCACCTGCCCCAGCCCCTACCCCTGCCTCAGCACCTGTCCCAGCCCCTACCCCGGGCCTTGACCTTGGCCTGCATTGCAGCTTCCCAGGCACCCTCTTCCCTTCAGGCCCAAATGAGATACAGCTACAGACTCTAAGTACTTCTGTGTCTCCTATTCTCCCAACTCCCAGGAATGACTATGCAGGTTGATTCCAACCCTTCCACCCCCACAAATCCAGTCAGTTACTTGGGCTTGATTCATTAAACTCACAGTGTTTCATGAGATCCTGACTCACAGTTTCTGGCCTTTAATTAATTGGTGTGTGTGTTGAGACTAGGAAGCCAGGACATTGCCTGGCCCTTGCCATCAGCACCCAAGGATGACCTTGCCTAGAGACTGAAATTGCATTGCTTGTGAAGTTATGTGGTCTGAAACACTAGGCCATGGAAGAAGCAGCCCACGGGCCCTTCAGGGAGAAGAAAAAGATGATAGAAGGCCAAGGGATTTTATTTACTTAAATCCTAAAATGTTTTCAATTTATTGGAAGAAAAACCTACTCCAGTTGAAATCTTTTCTCCTTGGAGTTTCTACACCGATGAAATGTTTGCACATGTCCCTCTGTTATTTTCTACACTTTAAAAAGGTCAAGGAAATCTGAGAAACTTCTTACCATCGCTGCCTCGAGAAGATATTGATTTCACATCAATGGACTCTTTCCTCCTGCTCTTGTGTCTGAATGAAGGAGGTTCTGTGGAAATCAGATGAGAGACAGAGGAGGTTAGCTTTCAGTGTATCGGAGTGTGAACTTACACCTTTCCCATTATTCTCCAAAGAACGTGAGTGTACATTTAAGCTCTAGAAAGTAAATGCAAGAATCGAGAAACTACTTTCTCTTCAAATTCACACAAAACGATCAGTCATTCTAGTATGAAAACAATGTCTTTTTCTTCTGGGACTACATTACATTGTGGAAGCAGTGCTTATTAAGGGTTATTTAGTTCCATCACTAAAATGTCATCCTGAAAATAAAACTTAAAAGGAAATGTTTTGGGGGTTAATCTTCAGCAAAGGACTATACTTACCTGGCTAGGGAAGCTCTTAGAGGAAAGATCTAGAGAAGTGAAATCCACAGATCTTTGCATTAAGAAACTAGTTGGGACAAGTTAGGGACACTTCTGAAAGTCAGACGTCTAGGCACTCATCTAGCTTCTTTGAGAGTGGATTTCATCAAGTGACTGTCCTGCTGACCATGGGAAGGGAAACTCAAGCCTGGAATGTTCGGTGATGCTGATGCCGAAATCATATCAACAATGAGCACCAGGTTGTTAAAAAATGCCAAGGTGACAGTTTTGGCCTTAGAAATGTGCACTTGTGGGCACATTTGCTTCTTGCGAGTAACTCCCAAATGAGAAGAGAAATGTAACCATCCAAAGAGAAGGCAACTCAAGTGCCAGCAGCTGTAGTGTGTTTCTCAGTTACCATTAAATAGGCAGGTTTAGCAGGAAAACCACAGTGCCACATCTCTTGCTTCCATAAGAATTGCCAGTGGCATAAAAAAGGATGAGAAAGCCTAATACTGAAGAAACCAAGTCTAGAGTCAAATTGTCCAGGTTCTGGCTCAGTTTGCCAAAGAGTAGCTATATAGCCTTGGAGATGTTACTTAACTTTTCTGTGTCTCCGTGTCTGTACAGGGGATAATTACAGTTTCTCATTCAGAGGCTATTGTGGGTAGCCCTTAGAACAGTACCTGCCACACAGTAAGCCTACATAGTATACCTGCTATCAATTATATTGGTTCATTTGTACAAAACACAAAACAGTTCAAAGCTAGTCTATTATTCCTCCTGATTTCGTCTCTTAGAATTGGAAGACTCTATAGCAATAGAACTGATTATGTGTCTGAAGAAGTTATTCTTCAGTGAGGGTCATTTAAATTAGAGAATTCATTGTTCATTCTTTTTTTTTTTTTTTCTTCTCTATGTAGACCCGGCTGTCCTGGTACTCACTCAATAGACCAAGCCAGCCTTGAATTCAGAGATCTGCTTCTGCCTTCTGAGTACTGGGATTAAAGGTGTACATCACCATCACCCGGGACATTACCCATTCTTAACAGATGTCCATAGAATGAATTAAAAAGTTCAATCATAGAAGAGAACTCGGTGACAAAGGGACTCTGCCTCCCATAAAAATAGTTACTTCCTGAGAACCTACTGTGCATCAGACATTGTACTATGTACTTTAAATATAACAATGACCCCATTTAACAATGACATTCTTTCTGAAAGCTACACAGTCCTATCCCATTACACCAATAAGGAACTGAGGCTGGAAAGACTAGAAAAGTAGCCCAGGGTCAAGAGCTGGTAAGCATTGGACCCTATGCTTTTCAGGAGGGAGGCCTTTAGCTGATGGAGGAACTGTGAGCATTGGCTGGGTGTCTATTGTGTGCAAGGTCATGCTGGGCACTGTAAGGGACACGGGGTGCTTACTGCAGTGTTTTTGGTAGTGCCTTCTAAATGTGACATAAATTAACAGAAATACTTGAGAAAGGGTGCCTGTACATGAATCATCATTGTGCCATTCAAGGCTGTTCTGGTCTAGAAAACATTTTGAAGGAGAAGAAAGATGGCCTACAGCTAAGTGTATCTTCTTCAGTCATCATAACAATGAGAAAGGTGTTGTTAATTCACTTTGCAAATGAAATTCTGAAGGTCAGAAAGAGCAAATGAGTTCTTTCAGTGTAGGCCAACTATAATCATCCTGGAACCAAGGAAAAGGGCTACACAGCCAATCCAGGGTCTAATCAGGTGCCCATGCAGAAGGGAATGGTTGATTGGCAGCCATTCTTATAGAAGAAAGAATTGCAAAGCCTGCAATGAACTTTTTCCCTCTCCAGTGGTCAGATAATTCTAGGCCTCCCACCAAGTCATCACTTCATAGGTAAGAAAACCAAATATCTGAGTGTTGTTCAAAGTCTAAGAGATGAGTAGGGAGCTGAAATGGTAGCCCAGTGCCTACTCACCTGGGCCAGTATCCAGCCACATTTCCATTTGTAAAGCCAGTCACCAATTACTACTGAGAAAGGGAACTGGACATGGGTAATTCATAACTGGGCTTTCACCTGTGCCCTAGATGGTCTGCCTTTCCCCTAGGCTGCTCTATGCTGGGCTCATCTGCTCTACCTGGTCTTTAGCCAATAAAAGAAAACCAAGAAGTGGAGGAGTTTAAGAGGGAAGTCTGCCACAAACCAAGAGACAGGAGATTTATAGAGCATTCCTGCTGCTCCTCTGGCTCTCCAACTCTCCAATGCCAGCACTTGGATTCTAGCAATCCCCATTCTAGGGTGACAAATGTCATCCGAACCCCTTCTGAGCAATGATAAACTGGGTGGACAAGGCACCCCTCAGCAGAGAGTAAAAGTCAGTGCTCTCACCTGTTTGAGAGTTATCCCCTGAATCACGATGAATCCTGTGAATCTAGAGTCGTTCCGAAGTTTGGTAAAAGAGAAAGAGATTTTATGTCATTTGTAGAATTCCACAACTTAGTTAAAAGGTTCTGAAGGCATCCAGAAAGCGAGGTGTTGCACAGATTGCATGAAGAGATGAGAGACACACACCAAGTGTAAGACTACAAACGCTCTATTGCTTTCAGACACTTGGTCAGGAGCCTATGAGTAGGAAAGGGCCCAAGGAAGGGACTCTCCAGGCAGACCTAAATGTCCCACTAGCTCATCTTGACAGTCTGTAGAAATGCAGAATGACAAAGACCAGGACTCAAGTCAGATTTTAATATGTAACTTGTTTGTTTTAGGCAGGCCATATTTGTTTGCTGAAATACGAAGTCCGAGTTAAATCTAAAACTTCTGCTTTTAGAACTGTTCATTAACTGTTCCTCAACTTCTGACAGAGTCAATTGATGAACCATCTCCTCACGAGGCCTGAACTTTAGCTGCTGTTTTTGCACCTAATTCTTTTCTCATTATCGGGTTTGTTTGATGCTAATGATTTGGTGTAAATGTTCAATAGACATCAGCCAAATGACCCAACGAAGTCATCAACACTAGAAAGAATACACATGCTTTTTGTGGAGTCTGCATCTCTTGCATTTACAATTGACTAAGGCACTGCCGGTGGCCACATTGTCATTCGCACTTATAATCCCACTGCTTCTCTGATAAATCCATTTGCTTCCATCCAGGACTCAGGCCAGTAAACCTGCACAGCACTCAATGAAGATGCAAGGCTAAGTTTTAACAAGACAGGTGAATGCAGGGGACTGTCAGGGAAGGAGGACTAGGGTGACTTAGTAACGTCAACGGTGATAGCCAGAAAGCTTCCTTATGTCAGACATAGGTATAACGTCCCAGTCTTCATTGAACCATTGAAGAATAAACCAGGTAGGGACTGGGGAGATGGTTTGTTTGGTAAAGTGCCTGCCACATAAGCTCTGAGTTCAGATATCTAGGACCCATACACAAATCTAGGTGTGGTGATGTGTATGTGTAATCCCAGTACTGTGGGATAGAGTGAGGCAGATTCCTGCAGCCCATTGGCCAACCATATAGTTAAATCTGTAAGGTCCAGATTCAGTGTGTTACTCTGTTATAAAAACTAAGGTAGAGAGTGACCTAGGAAGACACTCATTGTCTATTTCTGGCCTCCACAGGCACCCATGTGTGAAGCTATATGCACATGTGCACACACCCACATGTACATGCATACAAACACACAAAGATAGCCAGGCAAAACTGAGATGTTAAAATAAGGCTTCCCGCACAGCCCTTCCACTCAGTGCATTTCACATACTCACAGAACGTCAATACAGAAGCTGTGGCCCACCTGTGATATCTTGGTCATTTAGGCATGGCTATTGACTCTCGCCCCATAGTTATGGTACCCTTTATTATTTCTTCCATGAACATCATTACATGTTTCCCTTCAGGAATAAAGACCACGTTCTACAAAGCCCCCAAGCTCAATACGCATTTTTATATGTTCAATACGAATAAAACTCTTGCTTCATTCTTTCACCTCAATCAGCTCTCCCTTAAAAGCTTTTTGTCTTTAACCAAAATACATACAACTCTAGGAGCAAAGTCCATGGCTTCCCATATAATGAAAAAAAAAACAGTAATAAACACCCCCCAATGCCCTTTTCTCATCTCTCTCAGGCTCACAGGTCACCAATATGGCTCCATCACCTACACTCTGGGCCATGTGTTCTGTATGGAGTGGAGACAGCTCAGTCATGATATAGGATTAAAAAGTGTGTCCTAGCCACTGATGGGGGGTGGGGTGGAGGGGTGGACCAGGCAGGAAGAGCACAGGCACAGTTCCATTGGCTGGGATGGCTATGGCCCATCTGTTTCAACATACAATGTTGTACTTGGTGCTTTGAGCTGAACTTGCTGCCTGTACATTAGCACACTGGCCTCTGTTCCCACTGCTAGCAGCAGAGGCTAGAGATCCTCCATACTTCACAACCACAGAGTCTTCCAGGCTATGTCCGCCTCCACACCAGGATGTGCACTTACTCTATAACCCTCTGCACAGAGGACAACTGGGAGCTCTCCTCCTGACACATCCCACCGAGCTTGGGTTCTTCATGTAAGTTCTCTGACTGATGATCTGCATGTCTCATCTGAGCACCCTCATTTTTACAGGACTCACATGGATGACAAAATCCTCTCTCACAACAAGAATCTCTCCCAGAGCTCTACAAGTATCAATGTTTATAACTCAGTAGGAATTATTCCAAAATGATTTCTCATAACCCTTGGTGGAACTCATGGAGAATACAAGCAAGGAATGGGTAACTCCTTACTCTTTGATGGGTTCAGGAGATGCTCAGGGAACTTGAAAACCTAGAGGCAGGGAGAGAGATGAACTTGGCCCCATGACAACAGCCATTTCGCATGTTAGCCAAGTGCAGGCAAATCTCTGCTTGTAATTGCATCAATACAAACCTGAGGAGAAGCAACCATTCCCTTGGACATGCAGGGCAGGGGAATTGAGGTTTAAAGTTTGGTCACCACACAGGTAGTGCATAGAACTATTAACTATGGTTTCTCTAGTTTGATAGCCAATTGCCTTTGTTACATAACTCTTCAGCCAAAGGCCTCAAAAGTGTTGTCCCAGGCCTGCCTTGTCATCTTACAGGAACTACCTTACAGGTCAACACAAACAGCCTTTCCCCAGTATTCTGGGAAGGTATGAGTTTTGTCATATGCATACTGTAGCAAGATCAGGGTTCCCCATCCTCAGACTTGCATTCTCTAGAGCACATAGGTTTTCCTTCTTGTAAAGCTTAAAATGTAGTGTGTTCCGGTGTAGGAATGACTGGGGAGTGACAACAGGTGCTGCTACTGTAGCTACAGGCTTTGAAAGCAATAGTCTCTGTGAATTCTACTGTCCTTGGTCCGTGAAACTGTCAAGAGCTCAGAACTGTGATTTTCCAGCAAGTCTTTGATGCTTGCAGCTTGTGTGTGTGTGTGTGTGTGTGTGTGTGTGTGTGTGTTTATGGAACTGTAATTATAATTTATAACTTTAATTAAAATATAGGTTCCCACAAAATTTGCTGCCCTGTGCTTAAATGCTTTATTTACTAATGCCAGATTATGCTCAACTTCACCTGATCTACTCACATGTTGGAAGGAGGATAGAATTACACAATCCCTTTGAGTACCCAGTCTGGCACTTTTGTACCAATGCAAACATCTCCATGACAAAATATTACTCCAGGGAAACAAAGATGTTTCATTACAAAAGTAACTCTTTCAATGATACTCTAAGAAGCCCAAGGCTGGAAAAAGTGCAGGACTCCAGTAACAGGGTAAGAGACTGAAAAACAACAAAATAAACAGGCTTTGAATTCAACTGATACAAACAACCCAGATGAATCTCAGAAACCTAGTGATCAGAAGAAGCCAGAAAGAAGAACACACACTGGATGGAGCTCTAGAAAGTCTATTATTATGTAGAATAAGGACTTGCTGGAGCAGCAAGGGAAGGGGTAGGGGTAAGGACAGGCTATGAAGGGTCTCAAAGCAACTTTTGAGAGGGTAAAATTTGGTTGTTTTCTTTTTGGTTTTGGTGATGTGGGAATTAGAGATATGTTCTTAGTCAAACTCGGGGGAAACTATAAGCTCTGTACATTTTCTACCTTAAAAACAAAAACAACCACTAAACTCTAGTTAATATGCATGCTGATAGGACAAGCAGTAAGCTATATTGGTATGTGCCCAACACTTAGTAGTTGGCAAGCACTAACAAAGAACAAAAGTTGATGAAGGATGGTTCAGGACCACAGATGGAATCCTGATAGAGTCATGTGTTAACCCTGGGACTGAGGTAGTGTGAGTGAAGGGGTACTCACTTAACATGTCTTCTGATTGTTTTATTTAAAAAATTTAAACTTATCAAAAAAATTTTTATGTACAAACTTTTCCTAAGAAGTGTTGAGTGGTTCATGCCTTTTATCCCAGCACTTGGGATAAAGAGATAGAGGCAGGTAGATCTCTGTGAGTTTGAGGCCAGTCTGGGCAATATAGTGAATTCCAGGACAGCCAGGGCTATGTAGAAAGACCCTATCTCAAACATCACAACAACAACAAATAACAAAATAAAAGAAAAACTTCCACTTCCCATTGGCCTCAGCAATGCATATATAACCAGGCAGTGACATTCTGCTATGGAGCCTGGCTCTGGCTGACTCTCCAGCTGCATTACTGAGCACAGCCATGCTACCCTGAGCTCCAAGGGGGCGGGCAGGCTATCCTGGCCACCTTTCCATCTTCTAATTCTGATGCTTTTGTTGTCTCTGGTTTGTATGGGCCAGGTCTCTGCTGGGAAGTTTCCCACTCTGCTCTATTCCCCTTGCCCTGTCCTGCAGTCTTGTTCTCATGGGGCTCCCTCCAGGAAGGTTTTCAAACACTTCCTCTCACTTCAGTCATTCATGAGGCCAAGCAACCTTGTATCTCTGTGACTAATCTGCCCCTTGCAGCTTGGATGAAGGTTATGTCTAATTTGATTACTATTGTGTATCCTGTGCTAACAGCATCTAGGGCATAAGGGAACTAAATGTTAGATGAATCTATAAGAGACTGGAGTTAACCACGGTCCTTACCTTACAGCTATGGTGAAGACATTGTTATTAGTGATTTGGCCATCACATTGATCTTTGTTAATTATACTTAATACTTCTCTCACTAAAAAAACTTACTCATAAAAAGTCTCACAGGAAAACATGGATAAAGCAATTTCTGTAAAATGTCAGTCTTTAAAAGTGAAAAGCAAATTCAGTACAGAAAAAAAAATGCACCCTCATTTTTGATAATGCCAAATCTGATAACGGTGATAAATCAAGACCATCAAATACCAGAGCCCACCCTCAGCCCTGTCTTGGCTCTCTGAGCCTCCCTCAGAGAGTGTCTCTGTGACACATTATACTGTAGATTTCATCAAAAAGGGATATACTT